AAGTATAATCCCTCACCTTCATCTCCTCATTACCTTCCCCCCTCACACAAATACCCATCATACACATGCACTGTACCTCTTTTATAGTCCTGTCTTTCATTTTTAATTCCAAGGTCAATGTTTTAAAGTGGTTTCTTGATGTATCCCAGCTGTGCATATACAGTAGCATTATTCAGTAGCTTTTAGTATGTATCATTAATGTCCTCTACCTCCAAATACGTAATGCATTTCTATTTGTCCATTTTCTTTGCCTTTTCCTCTTCTGCTGAGTGCCACAGAGTAGTTATACTATTACAGATACGTTTTACATAGAAATATGTATATAACCATGTTTGGTTTTGTGTATACATTTACCTTTTGAATTTGCGTTCCACATATGAGGGAAAACATGTGGACTTTGTCTTTTGAACCTGGCTTATTTTATGTAACATGAGGTCCTCCAATTCCTTCCATTTACCTTCAAACCACATAGTTTCATTCTTTATGGCTGAACTTGTGTGGGTGTGTTTGGGGGGATTATTTTCTTAATCCATTTATGAGTTATAAGGAGCTTGGATATTGTGAACAGTGCTGCAATAAATATGGTTGAACAAGTGTCTCCATTGTATCCTGACTTACATTCCTTCTAGTATATGCCCAGAAGTGGTATTATGGGATGATATAATAGTTCTGTTTTTAATTTTTAAAGGAATCTCCACATTGCACTAATTTATATCCCCACCAACAGTGTATAAGGGTTCCTGCTTCGCCACATCCTCCCCAACATTCGTTGTTTGTGTTATTGATGATAAGTGTTCTAACTGGGATGAGATGTAATACTAGCGCACTTTTGATTTGCATTCTTTTATGGCCAGGGAAGTTGAGCATTTCTTCATGTATTTATTAGCCACTTGTATTCCTTCCTTTGAAAATTCCCTATTCAGTTCACCTGCCAATTTCTTCTTTGGGTTATTGATTCTTTGGGGGTTGAATTTGTTTTGAGCTCACTATAGATTCTGGATATTAGTCTTTTATCAGATGAATAGCTGGCAAAGATTTCCTCCTGGTTCTGTGGGCTGTCTCTTAAGTCTGTTTCTTTTGCTGTGCCAAAAGCATTTTAGTTTGATGCAGTTCTGTCTGTTCATCGTTTCTCTTTATTTGCTGAGCCATTGGAGTTCTATCTGGAAGTCATTACCTGTGCCTGTACTTTCCAGTGTATTTCCTACTACTCCTTTTAGGCTTTATATTAAGGTCTTTAATTTTGTGTGAATTGATATTTGTGCAGAATGAGAGACATGTATCTAATTTCAGTTTTCTGTATGCAGATAGTCCAGCAACATTTGTTGCAGAGGCTGTCTTTTCTCCATCGTATGTTTTGGGTGCCTTTGTCAAAAGTCAAGTGAGCATAGCTGTGTGTGTATTCATATCTGGGTCTTGTGTTCTGTTCAGCTGGTCTTCATTTCTGTTTTTGTGCCAGCACCATGCTGTTTTTATTGCTATGGCTCTGTAGTACAGTTTGAAACCAGGAATTCTAATACCTTCAGCAATACTCTTTTGTATTCAGTATTGTCTTGGCTTTTCAAGGTCTTCTGTGCTTCTGTATGAACTTTAGGGTTGATTTTTCAATCTCTGTGATGAATGTCATTGGAATTTTGATGAGGAGTGCATTTAACGTGTAGATTGCTTTTGGTAACATAGTCATTTTCACAATACTGATTCTGCCAAACCATGAGCCTGGAAGATCTTTTCATCTTCTGTAGTCTTTGATTTCTTTCTTCAGTGATTTATAACTTTACTTGTAGAGGTGTTTTATTTCTTCTGTACGTTTATTCCTAGGTACTTTACTTTTTTGAAGCTATAGTAATGAAATAGTTTTCCTGTGTTCTTTCTCAGTTTCTTGATGTATAGAAAGTCTACTGGTTTTTGTAAGTTGGTTTTGTATCCTGCTACTGTGCTGAAGGGAGTGTTTATGATGTCTAGGAGTCTTTTTGGTGGCGTTTTCTGGGTCTTTAGGTATAAGATTATGTCATCTTCAAATAGGGGTAGTTTGACTTTTGCTAGTTGAATTTCTTCTTGTTTTACTGCTCTGGCTAGGCATTCCAAGACTGTGTTGAATAAGAGTGGAGAAAGTAGACATTCCTGACTTTATAGGAAATGGTTTCAGTTTTTCCCCATGTAGTGTGATGTTGGTAATGGGCTTGTCCATTGTAGCCTTTGTTATGTTGAGGTACATTCTTTCTATTCCTAGTTTCATCAGAACTTTAATCATGAAAAAATGCTGAATTTTGTTGAAGGCTTTTTCTGTATTTGTTGATGATCATGTGGTCTTTGTCTTTGCTTCTGTTAATATGCCGTATTATATTTAATGATTCGCATATGTTGAACCACCCTGCATCCCTGGGATAAAACCAACTTGATCATGGTGTGTGTCTTTTTTTTGATACACTATTTAATTCAGCTGGCCAGTGTTTTGTTGATTATTTTTGCATCTATATTCATTAGAGTGATTGGCCTGTAATTGTCCTTTATGGTTGTGTCCTTCTCTGGTTTTGGGATGAATGTAATACTGGCTACATAGATTGATTTTGCCTATGTTTCTTTGTTTCTATTTCATGGAAAAGTTTGAGTTGTGTTAGCATTAATTCTTCAAAGGTCTAGTAGAATTCACAAATGGCTTTACTTTAACCTAACTCTTTAAAGGTTGTCTCCAAATAGTCGCATTCTGAGGTTACTTGATCTCTTTATATAGACACACACTTTTTGTCATTAGTAGTTATAATTTGAGCTTTTCAGTTAAAAGATATAAAAAGACGGTTTTACAGAATTCCTCTGGGTAATCAGTGAACAACGTGGCAGCAGATGAGCTGTTAAACTTTGCTTCATAATAAGTTGAAAACGCATACCTAACAAACAAAATCAATTTTAAATGACTCTGTGCACTTAAAAGCTGCTACTTGGTTGAAATTGTAATGGTTCTGTGTGCTACAGCAGTGTGCCTGATCATTTAAGATGTCATTTGTGTATATCATAGTCACTGTAGACTGGACCATGCTAACCTGTGCACAAGGATTTGACAACATATGTCATGACTTGAAATGAGCAACAGAAAAGCTAAGAATTCTTTATACTGATTTTAGTGGTGGTTGCTTTTTGGTCTTTCCCTCTCCCTGTACTGATGTTAGTTGTCAAAGTTTAGTATTTGAATATTTCTGAATACATAGATTCAGACCTAGAAATGCTTCTCTCATATGTCTGTATTATCATATTAAAATGAGGAAGAAGACAATAATGAAGAGGAAACTAAATAGTATGTATAAGGCCTGGTCGCATGCATATTTTATAGTAAGTACTCAATAAATAGGAATTTTTTTCCCCCTCATTTTCCTTAGTATTCAAAGTATTATTCTGTCTTCTTTTTTTATTTTTTGGTGGTACTGAGGTCTGAACTCAGGGCCTTACACTTGCTAGGCGGGTACTCTGCCACTTAAGCCACTCCACAACCCTCTTTAGTATTTGAATTAATGAGAATTAGAGTGCACATAATACGAGCAAAGGTAATTAGTTATATTTCAGAAAATCTGAATTAAAAAGAAAATTAGATTTGCCAACACTGTGTCTTGTTACAGAAGCCTGAAAGCCACCTGCATTTCATATCCTCTGTCTACTTGCACTCTCAGCACTAGACTATATGCTTTCCAAATTTTCTACTCTTTATTTTATCCAAATCCAAATAATGGGACTAATTGTCTTTCTCAATGTAATGAACTACTTTCTTCCATCAACCTGGTAGGCCATAAGATCTGGCCACAGTCTACTTTATTTATCCATACCTTCAAGACAAGTCATGTTGGTTGATACCATTCAGAGTGCTCAGTCAACTTTGAGTGAATGCAGTAAGTTGGTCAGAAACCACTGTTACAGTGTGTTTTTTCCTTTTCCTTTGTTGCTAACACATCAAACACTCATCAAAGTAATACAGTTGGAAATTTGACTTTCTTAGTGAGGGGAGCAGAACCAGAGGTACTGTTCTCCATGAGCTATGACTAGTAATGCAGTTTCCCTGGAGCGCCTCTGTGAGGATGTCCTCCCCTTTACATCAGTTTCATGTCTACAAAGTGTGACTCCTGAGAGGCCTGGGCACATAAACACATGACATAGCAGGACAGTCAGTGAAGGTCCTGAAGGTTTGATACCCTTTCATTCTAAACAGATTTTGTGTGTGTGTATGTGTGTGTGTGTTTAATTTTTTAAAACAGATCAACAAAGTAGAAGTCTGTGGGTGAAATCCAGCCCACCACTCTCCCATAAACACTACAAGCAAAGAAGCGCTTTTACATTTTTCAGTGCTTGGGAGAAAAAAAGACTAAATATTAATGTGCAAAAATTACTTTGAAATTCAAATTGTAATGTCCATTTTATTGGAACATATCCATTGTTTACGTATCACTTCTTCTGTACTATATGGCAGAGTTGAGTAGTTGTAATAGATGTAATGGCTGGCAAAACCTGAAATACTTGCTATCTAGCTCTATATAGAAAAGTTTACTGACCTGTTACTTACATTTTTTTTCTGTGAGAATGGATCATATAATTAGATATACTTAAGTCATGTGTCAGTCGCCTTCTCTCCTCCACCTCCATGTTCAAAGATTTAAGTAATCCATTAAGAATATCATTTGAGTTTGGTAACTATTCCAAGCTCTAATCATTAGATGTTGAGAATAAAGACATAAAATCCTGCCAAATTATGTAGGTAAATCCAGAGTATAGATGCCTTGTGCTTCTCTCCCACCTAATGGTATAAGGTCCTTGTCTTCCTAAGTAATTAATATTCATAACTTTAAAATAGTAGTATTTTTCTCTAGTTAACTATGAAAGTAACTTTGTTACGGCTTATTAGGCAGTTACCGAACCTTCATTCTGTGTCATTTAATAAAGTCGAAATGGTTTTTACAACATTGTTTACATTTTGTCTAAAAATTATTTTACTGAGAAAATAATTAACTTTGTTTTATTTTTAGGGTTATATCCTGTGTTGTGACCTCATGGTTTAAGTGGGAATAAAGATGAGTATAAGCAGTGATGAGGTCAACTTCTTGGTATATAGATACTTGCAAGAGTCAGGTGAGTACATTTATAAAGTAAATAGGCCTCAAATTCTTTTAATATTCTCAAAATAATCTCTTACGCATTAAATTTGTATCAGTCCAAACTGTTGAACTTTGTATGTTTCCTTAATGTCTGGACTGCTATTTTAAAGCTATGTTTTACTGCATGGTTTAACTCTCTGACTCTTTCAAATATGTTGGAATCATCCTAGGCAAGTATTTGTAACAAATAGTTTGTCTTTCACTGTTTAGAGGCCATTTTTATGATTGTTATAAAGTGAGATTATTGCATATGGTTAGAAGGAACATACTAACTCTCAGATGCCATCAGTTTGATAATATATATCCAGTATGCTCAGTTAAGTGCTATTGTTCCTAATTATAGTTAGCATTTAAAAAGCTTATCTGACAGAATTTTCTCAGAATGCTTTCATAATTATTGCCCTAATGATTAAATGTGTACTTAATCTGAATTCTGATTACTGTATTGGGGGGATTAAAATATAAACTGCTGAAAATCATGTGCAATTAATATTTAGTAAGTTAGTGATCATCCCTGTTTTCCAAATAAAGTGGTATAGCTGTAAAACAGGATTACTGCAAGGGAAAATATTGAAACAAGCCAAATATAAAAGTAGAAAAGAAAAAACTGTTGGGTATGCATGGAGCACAGGATGGTGAACAAGGTCAATTTCAATAATAAATGCAGAGTGTTAACATGGAGTAGAATCATTTGGTCCACAAATCTAGAGATTGAATTATAGAAATTATATCTAAAAGTTCCTATATTGTTTTCGTAGTAAATTGGAATGTGGTATATAAAAAATAATTTTGGTAGTTGCATGAGAGAGAGGACAGGACAGAATAGAGGCTCAAGTTTATAGGACTTTGAGCTCTCACTTTATGGTTTTAAGACTTTAGTCATTTTTCTTAGAGAGCTTATCTGGTTGTCCTTTTCCTTTACAGGGAACACAAGCATGGCCTTAGATTGTAGATTCAAGTGCTTGCTGACACATTCTCAGTTGTTCTTCAGTTCTGAGCCTTTCTGTTAGTGGGTGTTTCCTATTCCCAAGAAACATTGCTACTCCTCTCTGAATAGCCAAGAAGGTGATAGCCAACAAGGAAAGGCAGAGACAAGGAACTAAAATAATCAACCAGCAGAGAATAACTTGTTACAAAGCTTTGAAATTAATAAATCTTGTTTTGTTTAATCTGTTATGGAAGGTAGACCCAAGAAAGGACTTCTAAAAACTATCTTGAATAAACTTAAATGATTAATAAAGTAAAAGAGTAGTAACCCTAGTGATTGTTACATCAAACCATCCTGTAAATGCATTTGGAAGTTATTATTTTAGTACTTTTGACCAAAATGGAAAGATATGTTAAGTGAAAACACCACATTGTAGTTTCTGCTTTTGTTCTGACCACCTTTTAAACCACAACTGGTGTTTTGGACAAATAAAAGACATTGTGAGGGACTGGTGGATAGGAATATATGTAAAAGGCTTATTGGTGTTTTGGAAACACAACTTTTTAGGTCAAAGCAAATGGCATTACTGTTTTTGGAGATCAGAAACCATAAACCATCTCAACAATGTCCTGTAACTCGGTTTATGCTGAAATAAAGTAGGGCAAAATGAAGTTAAGAGTGTTAATGAGTACTCAGATTTTCTGGACAGAAGTCTACAGATTTTTATTTTATCTTCTTATGAGACAATACAGTGAGGAGAAATGGAGCAGTATAATATTCTGGCTTAATTTAAAACAGTATCCAGTGATTTACCTGTTACCATGTCGTCTTAAAGTTACTTATGTTCTTAGAGCAAACCCTTCTCTAAGTTCTGTGGTTTTAGGTTGCAGTATGTGTCATATTAAGCCATTTATCAATAATTATATATTGCATTATTAGGAGTACTTTTTGTAATCTTTTAGTTTCTACTGGTGATGAAATACATGTTAAGTAACATTTTATAAAAGGTGAATAGTCTCTTGATAAAAATCATGGCTTCCTATTTACTTTATGATTTATGGGTGAAAAATAAGATTTTGCTGATGCCATTTGGGCCTACGGCAGTTTTGCTAAGAATTCATCTTGCCGTAAACTTAGGAACCAGCATTCTAAAGTCTGATTCTCTGCTCCACCAGCATCAGAATCACTTAAGAAATGGCATGTGGGGATCTGGGAATCTGTATTTTACAAAGGTCCCAGGGGATTTATAGGCCTAATACAGTTACAAAGCTACTGCTCTGTATTAGTTAGAAGGCATTTAGAATTGACAAGAAAGTTGACACCACATATGTAGTATGTTCACAATATCTTGAAAGAAGAGTTGCAGTTAGTAACTAATCATGATAGAGTAGAAAGAATGAAATGTACATATACAGAAATTTGGAGTATGAGGTTATCTAAAGAAGTGACGTATTGGTTTCTCAGAAATGATAAGGTATGTTTTTGTTATCAAGGAAGCTGTGAGACATTCATTTGAAATTACTTTCAGAAATGGGAGGCAGTAGCGAACTTATGGATTTTATAGGTCTGAGAACTCAAAACAGGGTTCAGGTGAAACCTAGAATCTCCCCCATAACATTTCCAAAGTGACTGTGGATCTGGAGATTTGCCACATATTCCAAGAGCTATTTCTTCATTCAGATCACTAATTATATATAAATGTGTCCATTTTCCAATAGATTCTAATTTGAAATCATGTGGTCCAGTAATTCATTGTCAAGGCTGTTTTGGGATTCAGTATATTCAGTACCATAACTCATAAGGCATACCTATTGAGAATCACTCATTAAATATTTAAGAAATATAATATAAGTTGCATTTAGGCCACAGCTTATTCTTGTGGAATATTTAAAGCAACACAAAAGAAACTATAGAGTCTAAAAATTACTGTCCTCCCTGTAAAAGTGCTGAATTGGATCAGAAGATATGCAGGAAAGGAATAATCTTGGCACAAAACGGCTCTGTGCAAAAGGATTGTTTTGTGAAGGCTACCAAAAAGGAAAACAGAATATCCTTACTTATCTTATTATCCAAAGGCTCTTCAGAAACACCTTATAAAAATTTTACTCTATTTTGGTAAATACATGGTCTGAAAATATTTTGACTGTTCAATGGATATGGCATTCATCTCCAGAGGGAATAAAATCACTTAAGTGATACTACTCTTAAGTATTTTATACTACTATTTATTGGTGCTAGATGATATTATTTGTTAAGACCTTCTCCTTCACCCAAATTGTATACCTTTTCAGAGATTTTTTTTCCCTTATTTATAGAATTTGTTTGTTGAAAATGGAGTATGTTGTAATATTCAGCCTTAAATGTTTAGTGGGCCTCTTTGTTTCAAATATGCCATCCCCAACATAAAAATTAAAAGTATTACTTATCATTGAGTTTTTATTAAGTGTTATAATTTCACATTTTTCTCATTTTTATCTCTAGAAAGTTCACCATAAGCATATTACTTTGACCCCCATCATTCTGCACTTTTATGACGTAGACCCATAATGCTTTTCCTTTTGAGATGAGTTGAAAATTGAGATATTTAACATGCGGTACTGTGATGATTGACTTGATTCAGTGTTCTTTTAATTAGCGTTTGCCCACGGGCATTAGTTTAATGGCCCTATAACTCATCTAACAACCATATGTATTGTGGTACATGCTAAGTTATAGAAACCTGATATAGTGTTAATTGTAGAAGTGCTAAGATGACTTAGACCTTTAAAATTTCCTAGCCCTTCCCCCTTTTGCACCACCTTGATTCCTGTAGTTTTTCAGTTTCACCTCCCCTCCTTTTTTCCCCTAAATGAATTGTTCCTGTTAATTACTTGTAAAGTTTCTGTTACTCAGTTTTCTTATTGGTTTGTATAAGATGTACTTTTATTGTTTAAATTGTGTATTTGGTTTGGAGGATAATTGTGTATTAAACTGTCATCTCTTATGTGTTAAGAGCTCCATAACTTTGCTATTGATGAAGTACTTAGCCATTGAAAGACTAGAAGTTACAAAAACAAAATGCCCTTATTACTAAAATGAGTTATTTTCTAAATTGTGATTCTGAATACTATTATTTATAAGGAAAAACCTTATGTTTTTAGAACTGAGGTTTATCTTGCATGTATTTGCCATTTATTTCAAGGTGATGAGGCTTGGGGTGTGGCTCAAGTGTTAGAACACTATCCTGAATTCAGTTTCTAGAAGCGTCTCCCCACCCAAAAAAAGTTATTTCAAGGTTTTGATATATGTATTATAGGCTTAAAGTGTTGGCTTTATGAAGGATTATCTTTTCTCTCCTGTACCTTACCTTCCTTTACTATTTATTTTTTAATTTTTTTGGTGATACTGGGTTGGAACTCTGCTTCCTGCCTGTGAGGCAGGTGTAGAGCTCAAGTGCTGAAGCCACACCTGCAGTCCTTTTGCTCTGGTTATTTTTGAGATGGATCTCACTCACTTCCATACCCCCCTTTCAATTTTCCTTCTGACTTTTGTTAGTTGATGACTAATTACATAAGTGTAAGTAGGTACATAACTTTGCATTATAATATACAAAATATAGAATAACCTGCATTTGACACATACAGTTGTGTACTTGGCCAATTAACAATAAACAGCAAACAGTTGCCATATATGCTGGTAATTAAAGTATTTTTATACTTCCAAGTCAGTGTTTATTATTTTGTAAGCAGAATGACTATGTTTTGCTAGCACATAAAATTTCTACTGCATGTTCCTACTAATGTACTTCTAAAGGACAGTGGTCCTTTAAAATACTTGCCAAACTGAGAATGTGCTGAATCTTAATTGGTAATCTTAAATTTTTTGGTTTGTTTTTATTTTAGAAATAGCCAGTGTAGCAAGGATATAAAAAAATACACAAATATTGGTGGCATTATGAATTTGCATAATTTTTTGGGAAAGCCATTTGGCAATGATAAAACCTTTGAAATGCTCAGGTTCCCTTCAGCTTTTGAAGGAATCTCTTAATACAAAATTACACATGGCAAAAATCTATATATACTGATATTTGAGGTAAGATCCTTTTAAAATGGTGACCATTATATAAGTCCAAATGTCAAGCTATTGTATGAGTAATTTATTGTCCAAATACATTCATTTGCTGAATATTATGGTATGAAAATTATTTTCGAAAATAGAATTCATACAAAATGGTTGTAGTTTTTGTTGTTTTGTGGGGTAGTACTGGGATTGATTTCAGGGCCTTGTGCATGGATCCAAGTGCTCCACTGCTGAGGTGAACCTTAAATGGCAAAATCGGGGCACAGAATTGTATCAGTACTCACTCTAACTCTTCAGTATCCAAGCCCACCTATGACATCTCCCCTTCTTCCCTTTTGCCTTTTGTACAATCTGGATCTGAAGGGCAAAGTTGGAAACAGTTTCGGACACAAAAGAAGGTGTGATCATGCTAACAGAAATGTTATTTTGGGGACCATTTTGAAGCTTAAATGGTGTATCGAATAAATCCATTCTCTGTTGTATTCATAATTAAGCTCCCCCCTCTCCTTTGTAAATCAGCTTGTTCAGACACTCTTTACCATAATTAAGGATTTAAGACCATTTTTTAATTCTTGTATTTACTTTGCAAATTAGAGTTTCCAGACTTTGAAGTACTGCCTTCCATTTGAGAATATAATATCTCAAGGGAAAGCACTCTATAACAAGCAATTTGGAAATTGTTGTTTCATGATCTGTGACGCACGCACACACCTCTGCCAGTGTTTTGTCTCTATTATGAATGAACTGCATACTGGACCTCATGATTTTTAGTCTCCTTCTTAGGTACCTCTCTTTTGCTTGCTTAAGTCTTAATTACACTAGCAAGTGTTACATAAAAATCTGTTTATGTCAGATTTACTCTTACCCCTATAAAAGGATGCTGTTTTAAGTAATCATGCCATATTTCAACAGTTCACAGATTTAGGCACTCCCATTTGTCTTCTATGTAAATCAAAAGATGTGCCTGAAAAAGTATTTCCTATAAATATGTTTCCTTTTGTGGGGGAGAGGGGCATAAACTTTAGATTGTTTTTCAAGGAAGACTCAAGTCATGTGCTTTTTCTGAAGTCATAGATTTTCATATGTGCCAAAATACTTCATGGTAGGATTACATTCTAATTTAACAAATATTCATTGATTTACTGTTAAGTAAGGTACCCTACTAGTTTCCAAGAATTTGCCATCACTTAAATATAATATTTACTCAGAACAAAACCAGGTGTGTGGAATTGGGGAGGTAAGGCTTGAGACTGAGGTAGGGCCAGGTTACGGAACTGTGTGCCATACATAGGAGTTTATTATGAAGGCCAAGGGGATCTTTAATAGTGTTCAGTAAGAAGTAATATGATGCCAGGTGCCAGCGGTTCACACCTGTAATCCTAGCTATTTGGGAGGCTGAGATTGAGAGGACCCAGGTTCAAGGCCAGCCCAGCCAAATATTTTGAGAGACCCCACCCCCCACCCCAATCTCCAAAAATAACCAGAACAAAATGGATGGAGGTGTGGCTCAAGCAGTAGAGTGCCTGCTTTGCAAGTGGGAAGCCCTGAGTTCAGACCCCAGTCATTCCCCCCACCCCCCAAAAAAAGTGGTATGATCACTTTTAATTTTGTGGTAGTATTCTATCAGTGTACTGAATTGGGAAGAGAAGAAGGAAATTCATGGCAATAATAAGCAGAGTAGGAAAGGGACTGCTAAATTCAGTTTCTAGCAGGCAAGGACAGATGATGAGTGTCTATAGAGAAGATAGGGTGATAGAATCTGGAGGTAGAATGGTAGAATCTGGCAAATGGTCAGATACCAGAGGTCAAGGAAGAGGTGGAAGTTACTATGACTTAGAGATATAATGAAATGAAGTCAGAAGTTTTAAACATAATGATTTTGAGTTGCCGTGGGTGTTGTGATTTGTAATAAAGAAGCATTACAGATGTTGAATTTAACATTTAAGCAGAGCTTGTAAGTTTGGACCTTCTCTGGGGTGAATATTAATGAGAAGGGCCAAGACAGTGCTAATGATTACTTCAGGATTGTTTTCTTACTGTTCGAGAGCATTCTAACTGAACACATTCGCAATAATCTGAGATGAGCATGAGCACGTGGGATAGCTTCTTTCTCCAGGTCTGACAAACCTGGAAAGATGGATGCAGGATGTCAGCTAAAATCGGCAAAACTATCTGCAACTCCAGGGATATTCTTGGGTATATTATTACTTTAAGCTTAAATTCTGTGAACAAATTAGGGTCTAAATATAACAGTTTTGACTTATTTAAATTGTACCCAAAAATAGAATATATGGGCATCGTACACTTTGTACAATTCATAAACCTTACCAGAATCAAAACATTTTTAAAATCCTGGCACCAAATAGTAAAATGTAGTAAGATGTTACAATATTTTGTGTACCACTTACACCACTTTCCAAGACTCTTGAGTTGAAAACAGAGTAATGTACTTTTACTGTCTTGTCAAGAAGCAGGAGCTCATTCTTTGCCTTAGTTTTGTCCTTGATCATATTCTGACTTTTGAAGAGGACCAGTGAAGTGTGTCTGCATGAATTTGAATCCTTCCTCTCTTATTTAATGTCTTTCCATGAATTAATTTAGATTATAACATAATAAAATCGTGTGTATATGGTGTTGAGCGCATTATATAGGCCTTCCATAAATGATGTCCTCAATCTTGAAGTCGTCTTAAATGTCTAAGTCACTTGGCTAGTTGACTTCTTTTCCTGTTTTTGATTTATTGAAGGAGTTAACATAGGGATATAATTAGAAACAGGAATTTCTAACTTCACGACTCGTGGATTTTGTTGCTGAAGCTTTGTACCCTTTCTCTTCATCCTCCCAAGTTTTTTGTCTTATCTTTTTATCCTGGCAATCTGGAATCTACTCATATTCAGGAGTTGTAGGTTTCCTGATAGGAATAATTCAAAATGGCATTCCCCACCCCCATTGTATTTATATATGTGTGTGTATATATATATATATCTTTGTGAGCTCAGATTAAAGTGAAGACTATAAAGATATATTCATAATCACCCCTATCGGCAAAATCAGGAGGTTAAAATCGTGGTCTTAAAAGAAGCATGTTTTCACTTCTTATCTCTCCCACTACAGATAAGGAATGGTTAGGTGTTCTAAAGAGGGGAAAAGGGAGTGTAAGGAAAATCATCTTAGGTGTACTTTGACTATCAATGCGCCAATTAAGATATTCCTAACCACATACTATTTGTGAGCCCACAATATTTTATCATAGAGTATTCATGGATACTACGAAGAGCCTAAGAGTAGAAGTACAGAATGCAAAAAAAGAGTAAACACTGAAAAAAATAGAATAAAACAATTACATATCACAGTTGTTGCATAGATTAATAAGTTTATTCAAGAATCAAAATAAGCTTATTCACTTAATCAAAGTTTATTAAGCTTATTCACTTTATCAAAGTATGAAAATTCCATAGCATTCTATATGACATACAAGTTGATTTGTTTTAAGATATGTTACAGCAATTACTGTATAATAATGAATGTTCTGTTAGGCCTTTGGTCTATCAGTTTACTAGAACATTACTTTTGAATTTGGACTAGACTCTCATTTAAAAAATAAAAGACCAACAAGATTTTTGTTATGCAAGCATTCTAGTTTTTAAGTATTTCAAATTAAAGGTAAATAATTGTTGAAGGAGACCTAGAAACTGGGTTTTCATTTGCTAGCTCTTCATTTCCTTAAGTGTTCATTTAGACGAGTTACTGTGTGGCTTAGAATTGTATTTTTTTAAAGCAGTCGTTTCATACATAAAAATGAATTTGTGTTAGAATTTCTATTTTTTTATTTTGTGGTTTTTCTTTCACTTCCTTTGAAAAAGTTACATAATCAAGGTGTTTTGACAATATGTATGTAGAAAATTAAGTATATCACAGAGATATTAAATGTCACCTAATCTACTTTGGTATCAATAATCTTAAGTGAAGCAGTTGAATCATGTAATTTCCAAAATGTGTTCAACTTTTTAAATTTGATGGTTTTTGTTGAAGACAGTATGTTTCACTGCTAAATTTAGAAAATCTGAAGCCATGTAATCTATTAGGTACTAGAAATTTTAAAGATTATATAAGTAATCAAGAGAAAGGGGAAAAATATAAGAGCTAACATGTTTAGACTTTGATATTTCTTTTGTTTAATCGTATACTTGAGCTATCAGTCTAGGGTTTCAAATAATGGGATATGATTTTGAAAAATTGTAGAGATTTTTTCATTTGTGTTATTTAATGTGCTGCCACTAGGAAAATAAATACTCATATCTTTTCTTTTGCTTTTAGGATTTTCTCATTCAGCATTTACCTTTGGTATAGAAAGCCATATAAGTCAATCTAATATAAATGGTGCCCTTGTCCCACCTGCTGCATTGATTTCTATCATCCAGAAAGGTCTACAGTATGTGGAGGCAGAAGTTAGTATTAATGAGGTAAGGCAGACTTACTTTGAATACTGATTCTTACTCTTGAGTGCATTCCTAAATTAGCTGTCTTATTTGTTTGCTCATTTGGTATCTGACTTGAGCTTCACTGGGTTAGCAAGAGTGATACTCCTCATGTGTAAATTGGGTTGCACTGCCAGGCATTTTGGCTCCCAGTTTTAAGAACCACTATCTGCAGCTTATATCATTTAATATTTTTTTTTATTATTAAGCATTAGCAAATAATTTTCATTAACACAGCAACATTGTGCTTTGCAATGTTGAGGCCAAATTGATGGTAGAAAATTCGAAATTCAACTTTAGCTATACATTGATTTTGGAAACCAATTTATATTTGAACCTCATTCTTGACCCTCTTGCCTATCTATGGTTCACACAAGAGGCAGATTCCACTTATTCCCTCATTTTGTAAAGTTTGATTGAAACACAGCCACATTAATTCATTTATGAATTGCTTATGGCAGACATTAATAGTTACGACAGACATTATGGCCTGCAAAGCCTAAAGTAACAATTTATTATCTGGTCTTTTAGAAGTATGCAACCCCCTGGTCTAGCCTAAAATTCTCATGTGTGGCCAAGACTCAGGACTTCAGGAGCTTTTCCCCCTTTTTTCTCATGTAAGAGATTAGCATGTCTCTTCCTTTTTGCAAGAATCTTAATGGAAATGTCTATGATTTCTTCATCAATATTTATTACTATAATTATATAGCATATGAAAATTTGATTTATGGGCTTTCTTCATTTCAGTGAATGAAAGCTCACTAAATTAAATGTATCCTCCTTGTTAGCACTTTCTCTTTCAAAGTATGCTTTATTACAAAGGGTGATAAGTTTTACCACTGGTCAGAGGTGAACTTTCATTTTTGTTGAAATTTTTGTCTAAATTTAACATAATATTTTACAGTGTATCTCTATTGGTTTTAGTATTTTTTAGTTGCTTTTAAGTTAAATTACTTTCCTCAAATACTCCATTACATTTGGCAGTTCAAAATCATGTGTTATGTTTTGGTGCCCCATCACAGCAATGTAGGTTGTCAATAGTGTATGTTCACTAATTTAAGTAAACCAGGCTTCTTGCATGCATGTTCCTAATAGTTTCAACTCCTTCTGACTTGATCTGTGTCTATGTCTCTATTTGGGCTTACTGGAGAGCATAGCCTCTTTTATAATAGAACTTCTGAAACATTAGTGTAGATAAGTGTCACCAAGCATGCTTGGTAAATACTAGTTTCTGAGCTTTTCTTCAGAGATTTTGATTCTCTGGGCTTGAATCTGTTGGGTGGGGGTGGGGGTCTTGGGAGAAAGGCTGAGAATCTAGCCCAAGAACTCCTGTATGCTAGGCAAGCTGTTTATCGTTGAGCTTCACCTCTAGCCTCTGAATTTACCATCACCTGGTAAATTATCTTTGGTTCATACTTTGAATAGTGCTGGGTTAAGAGATCCCAGCTTCTATTGATTACCTGTGTCACTTCCACAAGTTTTTAAACATTGTTATTCTTGGCTTTCAACATTAGTAAAATTTCATGATTGTATGATATAATATCTGAAGTCTATTTTAGTTTAATATCTTAATCAAATCACAACAAATTTTCAAGTCCACCAGTTATTGTAAAAGTTTTAGTTTGTAGTTCTTTAAGAACTACAATCACTCCTTAATATCCTTGAAAATTGTTTCCACAATCTTCCACAAATATCAAAAATCTGCAATGTTCAAGTTACATACGCAAAATGGTATATTTGCATAGACTACACAATTCTTCCCTATACTTTAAATTATCTCTAGATTACTTATAACATAGTATGATGTAAATGCTACATAATGTTTACTATGTATTGTTTAGGAAATAATGACAAGAAAAAAGTCTGAATGTATTTAGTGCAGACACAGTTTTTTGAATCTGTAGATTCAAACCAGTGGATGTAGAGAGTTCACTGTGTTTATGACATCAAACTTCTCATCATTGTATGACCTATTCCATATTGGTCATTGTATTTGACTGAGAATTTTGGAATCTAATGAAATTTTTTTTTTTAATCATCTGGGCCTACATGAGTGACCTCCTATGTTTCATTTGTATCTCTACAACATTTAACAACATGAACTAAGTGAAGAGGAAAATTGAGCAGCCATTTGCTGTTTCCTCTTGAGGTTCTTCTTCCTTCTCTCCCTGCCTTCTTAAAATGAGTTCAGAAAACTGTCTAAGTGCTTTTCTAAGAATAAAGATGTTCATTTCTTCTGTTGATTAAATACAAGTAGCCTTAAATTCTTTGATTTTTTTTTTTTTTTCCATATCCAGGATGGTACCTTGTTTGATGGTAGACCCATAGAGTCCTTGTCCTTGATAGATGCCGTAATGCCTGATGTGGTACAAACAAGACAACAAGCTTATAGAGATAAGCTTGCCCAGCAACAGGCAGCTGCGGCTGCTGCAACTGCCTCAGCTGCCACTAATCAACAAGGATCTGCAAAAAATGGAGAAAACACAGCAAATGGGGAGGAAAATGGAGCACACACTATAGCAAGTAAGAAAGAATGTTCAAAATATTTTTCAGAGAAACATTTTGCTTTACTAGGATGTCCTATCTTTTAAACTGAAATAACTTCATGTGTTTATACTAGCTTGGTCCCCTAACTTGTATCACACAGTTCACACTTTTATTCCTAAGGCTCCAAAAAGCTAAATTTATTTTATTGACTTTATTTTCTTTTTAATATATCTGAAAACCCTTTTCATACCCTTAAATGAATTTTTGCATCTGCATTTGATTTCTAAATAAAATTTGTAATACTGGTCATCAACAAATGTAGTCACTGACATGTATATGTCTTACTTATGTTGTAAAGGTGACATGAATGATACCAGCAACCCCTACTGGCAGAAACTCAGAATGGTATTGCTGAACACTATATTTAATTCAAACTATTTTGTACTTTTAAACATGTTTAGGTCTAGCCTTTTTATCTTCCTTATCCCCCTAAATGCCCCTCTATATTTAAAAGTAGTGTAATCATAGCACAAAGTTAGGAATTTATTTTCTGTGTGACAAAGATGGTATATTCATGTTCAGCTTAACCTGACATAGTTTATTTAAAAAAAAAAGTTGTATATTATAAAGGAAGTAGAGTATTTGCTGGTTATGAGTCCCACCTCCCCTATATTATAGTATTATCTAACTGGCATTTTCCACTTACTTACCGTGATGCAGATAATCATACTGACATGATGGAAGTGGATGGGGATGTTGAAATCCCCCCTAATAAAGCAGTCGTTTTACGGGGCCATGAATCTGAAGTTTTCATCTGTGCCTGGAACCCTGTTAGTGATCTCCTGGCATCAGGGTATGTTTCCAATGTGATTCTAAAGTGGCTTGGGGGAGAGAAGGGGAGGACAGTGCAACTGGTCTTACTTTGTAACTGTGAGTGTTCTCAAATTGTGATCCTTCTGCCTCTGCTTCCCAAGTGCTGAAATTTCAGGGATAGGCCATTATGTTTAGCTTTAAAATGACTTTCAAAACTAGCTTATTGCTTGTTTGTAGACATTTTGCCCCAGTAAATCTTTATTGTTTTGTGAAGTAGTTGTAGAATTACTTCAGTAATGCTTAGGTTCCCCAAATGTAGGATGGGAAAAATAATGGAAATGGAAATTCCTGGTAGTCTACTTTTTATTTGCCTTATTACTAATAATAAGATATAAATATGTTGTTTTATTCTGGGACACTTGTAAGTGTCAAGAGTATTTAAAGTACATTGTATACTTTTTAGGTCTGGAGACTCAACAGCAAGAATATGGAATCTTAGTGAAAATAGCACTAGTGGCTCCACACAGTTAGTACTTAGGCATTGTATACGAGAAGGAGGTCAAGATGTTCCAAGCAACAAGGATGTAACATCTCTAGATTGGAATGTGAGTATTCTTTTCTTGGTTGAGTGATCCGTGAATGAAAACATTTGGGAATCTGTAGTTTAAAGGAAACTTGGCATTGCATAGAGTATGCAAATAGGATATACTGCTTTTGGTTTCAAGTTGGTACCATGTTCCTCAGGTAAAATGCCAAGGGATTTACAGATCCAGTAGGACTGAGCCTGCAGTTCCTAAAAGCAGTGTTTATCACTTGCCTGTACAGCTGAATGGCTTGAGAGGTCCAAAATAGGCAATTTTAAATTTTCAGTGTCCTTGTCAAAAGCATAAAAACAGTACCAACTAAGGCAGGATTTCATTTATCTCCAGTAGCATCTACTGCCTCAGCAATTGCCTGCTTAATTCAATCTGGGGATTGAACTCAGGACCTGTTACACTGTTAACCAAGGAAGGCACAATCAGGAATATAAGTTTAGAGAAGTTAATGTAAATTTTTTCTCCTGGTAAAGTACTTTTTTGACAACTATATCCATTTTTATTAACTATGAAGTCATCTTGTGGTCTTTTTCTGGCTCTTTTCCTTTTGTTGCCCTTTTTATTGGCTAATACCTCATAGTAAGAAGTTACTAACAAGGCTGGTGGAGTGGCTTAAGTGGTAGAGTGCCTGCCTAGCGAGTGTGAAGCCCTGAGTTCAAACCCCCATACCATCAAAAAAAAGAAAAAAAATCAAAAGAAAAGTTATTAACAAATGAAAGAAACATTTATTGCTTAAGAATCTGATAATCTGAAACAGTATTGTATGGGTCTCTGTCTCTGCGTGCGCACCCCCCCCCCTTCGTTTAGATACCAAAGGATTTAGAGGGAGGGCCATATAAAAAGTTGTTATCAGCGTTAAATATTTTAGAAGATTTTGCTTTTTACTTATGTTAAATCATTCTAAAATTGTGATTTTTTTTTTTTTTTTTTAATGTTCTTCCCAGTCTACCACTGTGCTTCCACCCTTAGTCATGTGTGTCTGTGAGAATATAAGAGATCTTTGGACATGCATCAGAGTGATATTTTCGATTCTTCTCTAAAGCAGTTATCGTCATTGTTGGAATTAGATATAAAGCTAAAAGTGAACATTGGTGACGTGCAGGAATAGATAAGTTTTGAAGGGGAGAATGTCAAGGGTCTGCTGTTCCTGAGATTTATACATGAACTATTTTAATAGCTACTAATTGGCCTTTCTAGACTATATAATGAATGAAATGTGTTTCCTTGACAGAGTGAAGGTACACTTCTAGCAACTGGTTCATATGATGGATTTGCCAGAATATGGACTAAGGATGGTAAGTGAAGCATTTACCTTTTTACTTTGCTGTTGATCTAAGTTAGAAAGTTTGAAGTAATTTTACAGGTTTTTGTTTTTTGTTTTTGTTTTTTTTGATTTTTAGGTAATCTTGCTAGTACTTTAGGACAGCATAAAGGCCCTATATTTGCATTAAAATGGAATAAGAAAGGAAATTTCATCCTAAGTGCTGGAGTAGATAAAGTAAGTGAACATTGCACTACTTTCTGTCTGTTAACATATTACAGAGGATAATTGAAAGTCATATTTCTTTCTTTTCTCCTAATCGCTTAAACACAACATTCATACTTGGGAAATTCAAGTATGAATTTTTAGTAGTAATAGAGATACTTTCTTATGCTTTATATCAGCTCATTTTTCTGAATCTACTTATTTTGTCCTTTGTCTTTTATCTGTGTGACCACTACTAATTTTTGCTAGAATTTGAACCATAATGAAATGTCGTACTTGTTGCACTTTTTGCCTCTGTACTTTTTCTTATCAGTAAATATAGATCTTAACTGAAGTCCTGGTGCTTAATTGCAACATAAGAAATGCAGGACTTTTCTAATTTTCTTTACCTAATTAGATTGGTAAATGTGGATGGGTTGAAAATACGTCCTCTTCCTCACATCTCACCCCCTCTACCATACCTCTTCAAATAATTTAGGGCTTAGATTATTTTGATCTAGGCAAGAACATGCTAATAATTAAATATGTGATGTCATACAGAGAAGTGAACAGAAGCTGGTTCAGACTTTATTTAGTTAGCAATAAAAAATGACAATGAAGGAGTCTGGGAAGGGGAGAGAAAAGCCCTATTGATAGTCACTGCCACAAACAATATGTTAGGCTCCTGTGTTCAATATTACAAATATTCAAACTGCTTTTTTTTTTTTCTGTAAATGTAACCTTTTAAAAGTCCTTGAATATCGAGAAGTAGCTGATTTCACTTTAACAAGAATTTACCACTGTATAACTCAACAACTATGTCTTATTTTAAATATGCTATTGGAGTAGAGTTTATTAAATAGTCTAATTTGTTGACAACCAATAATTGTTAGTTGAAGTAAATTAATGACTAAAAAATCACCAGGGAAGAATTAAACTGCTTAGTAATCATTTCCTCCCAAGTGGGGTATAGGTAGCCTAATACTATTTGGTATAAAATAAATGTTTAAAACTAAATCAACTCTGACATTTCATTCTGCTTTAATACAGTTAGACATCTAATTTATGAATTCATGATATACTCCTTTTAACTTCATAGCAATTTGTTTTTCTTTTCCTTTTAATTTTAGACTACAATTATTTGGGATGCACATACTGGTGAAGCCAAGCAACAGTTTCCTTTTCATTCAGGTAAATTTTTACAATTTACATGAAAGCTGAAGCTTTCTCCTGTTTTTCATGTTAAACTTTTAGTAGCATATAACTCATTTAAAATCTTAAAAGTGTCAAATAACAGTATTATTACTAGTCCATTCAGGAGTTGCTATCAAATGTTTGCTGTGAAATGTGCTATAAAGAAAGCATTTGCAGCCTGGTGTTATTTAGTGGAAAGAACATAAATTTGTGAATTGAAAGACCTATATTTGCTAGTTCCAATCTACTTACCAAGCTTTAAGATAGAGCAAATTACTTAACCCTTCTGAGCCTTGTTTTCACTATTAGTAAATGACAGTTAATACCTACTGGTTATAAGGATAAGAATAAATGGCATGTATAAAGATATAAACTCTTGTAAATTTAGGTATTGTCATTTTTTTTTTTTCATTTTAGATGTATCTAAGTTCTCTTGTGTACATAAGTAACAAACAGACTTCCCCAGTATTGGTGGAATTTTGGTGTCTTAGATGGATTTCTCTTTTAATAAATAATGGTGCTTCTTCCTGCATGATATACAGCCATGTGCCAGGACATACAGCTTCTTGAGGAGGGACAGCTAAGTTACTACCTTCACCCCTTTTCAGCGTAGAACCTTTGTGCCTGCTCTTAGTGAGTTTCTTTATGCAGTAACTAAATGATGCTAACTTCAACAAGATACCTAATAACTATTACAATTACCTCATTCAGGTGCTTCTTTCAGGACTTAACGGTAGTTGGGCAGTTTTGATTTGGAGGCTGTAGTAACTCTGGTTCTCAAATCTTTGTAAAAGATTTAAAATTGAAACTTGTAGTGTCAGACATTTTGCTTTTTTGTCTGTTTCTACTTAGTGTGTCCAAACTACGACACAAAATGACTTTTCTGTAGTATCTAAATAGAATAAGTTTGAAGCAGCATGTTAAATAATAAACAGTTCAACTTGATTAGTTTGCCACACTAACCTGCATCTGTAAGTTTTTCCTGTTTGTCTTACTTCCTTTTTACCTTGTCCTTCCCAAAATAGCATTTTCTTAGGCTTTTGGCTGTCTCCTACACACATCGCAGGAGTGATGTGAAGTTGAAACTAGTATACGTGTGCTGTCATTACTAGCTACCATATGATGAATGCCAACTGTGGGAGAAATGTGACTCTCTGTGTACATTATCCCATTGAGTCCTGATTGCAGCCTGATAAGAGAGAGAGTGCTGAAGTCATTTTACAAATAATGTTGTTTACCCTACCATGGTGTGTGTGTATGTGTGTGTGTGCAGTTTTGTTCAGTAATTCATGTACAGTGAACTATATATACTTAACCTTGAACACCTTGATTTACACATATACACATACACATGTATTTTTGGGAGTGGGGTAGGTGGGGCTAGTTTTTGAACCCAGGGCTTCATGCTAACAGAGCCAGCACTCCACTGCTTGAACCCTACCTCCATCTTGGTCTGGTTGTTTTGGGGATGGGGGCCTCATGAACCATTTACCTGGGCTAGCCTTCACGATGATCCGCCCAATCTCAGCCTCCCAAATAGTTAGGATTATAGGCATGAGCCACCACACCGGGCAGATATATTTTTAGATGTATTTATACCGTCACCACACTCAAGATAATGAACACATCTGTTATCTTCAAAAGTTTCCTTTTGTCATTTAGTCAAGAAGTCATGATTTCATTTTCAGGCAACCACCGATCATCTTTTTGTCACCAGAGATTAGTTTCCATTATGTAAAAATAAATCATACTGTACATTCCTCCCTCTCCCCCTTGCTGTTTTCAGTCTGCATAATTATTTTGAATCCTTCTGCATGTTATTCTTTTTATTACTGGTAATATTGTGTATAAACAAACAGCTTATCTACTCAACTATTGAAGTAAATTTCTGTTATTTCCAGTTTGGGGCTGTTAGCAGATAAAACTGCTACAAACATTCAAAAGTTTTTACATGGGCATGTATTTCATGTCTTTTGTGCAAATAACTTGTAGTAGAATGCTCATACCATTTGAGAGAGATGTATGGTTTAACTTAAGAAACAGCCAAACCGTTTTCAAAGTGGTTTCTTTTTCCAAAATGGTTTACATTCTCACCAGCAGAAGATATTCTTGTCCGTCTGTATCCTTTGTAGTACTTGGTGTATAGCCATTCTGTCTAGCTGCAGTCACTCTAATAGTTGTGCAGCAGTATCTCAATATGGTTTTATTTGCATTTCTTAATGACTCCTAATACCAGGTATTTTTTCATGTGTTTATTTCCCTTGTGTTTATCTTATTTGGTAAAGTGTCTTTTTAAGAGCTGCTTTCTTATTAGTAAAAGTTTGTGTGTTATTTATATTTCCTGGATATAAGTTCCTTATCAGGTATATACTGAAAAGTCTTTATAGTACCTTCATTTTGAAAAGACAGCGTTGCTGGTTGTTGTACCTTCTGCTTTGAATTATGAGTTGAGAGATTTTTTTCTTTTAGTACTTAAAAATATATTGCTGTCCACATTTGCATTACTCTCAGTTTGAAATCTGCTAACTTGTATTTTTTTTCTGTGGCTGCTTTTTAAGATTTTCTCCTTGTCACTGACTTTGAACAATTTGAATGTGTTTTTCCTTGGTATAATTTTCTTTATGTTTCCTATCATTGGAGTTCATTTTGCTGCTTTGGTTTGTAGTTTTCCTCATTTGAAAATGCTTTGAACATTATTTTTTTCAAATTTTTCCCTCCAGCCTCTGCTTTTTGCTTGAAATTCATATAAATATAAAAATTCTGATTAGTCTGCTTCAGAATTGTCCCACAGCCTACTGGTGCTGTTTTCTCCCCAGTCTTCTCTTTGTTTCTTATTTTGGGTAGTTTCTCTTCTGCCTTGAGGTTCACAGATCCTTTCCTTTTCAGAAACTAATCTGTGGATTATTCCATCCAGTGCAGTTTCCATCTCACATGTTATAGTTTCAACTCTATAAGTTTGACTTAACTATTCCTTGTCTCTACTTAACTTTTAAAACATGTAATATACTTGTGAGTACTTTAATGTCTTTGGTAATTCTAACATTTATGTCTGTCTTAGGTTACTTTCAATGATTCGATTTTTTTATGTGCCTTTGCATGCCTGGTTCCTACTGATTTAGAAGTAAGACAACATGTATTTTACTTATGGGCTATTTTTGTATTCTTATATGTGAGATTTATTCTGGAACACAACATTACTTAGAAATGAGTAGATTCCTTTGGGTCTTGCTTACAAGAATTGTTAAGTGGGTTTGGAGGTGTGGCTCAAGTGGTAGAGCACTTGCTTAGCAAGCATAAGGCCCTGAGTAGCAGACATTTTTTCTTCTCAGGCTTGTGAGTGTTTTCTCCCTTACTCATCCCAATCTCAGCTGCTTATTCACACATTTGTGCTGATTAGTTTCCCTAGCCTCTGAAGAATCTTTAGAATCTTTGTTTGCATAACTTCCTCCCTTTTGGCACTTTATCCTAAGAATTCTAGCTGCTTTGGGCTCTTCATTTTTCAGCATTGTCTCTTCAACTCAGGAATTCCATTCATCTCAGCCTAGGCAGATTCTTCTTCCTTAAATTAATTCCTGGACATTTTTTTTCCCAGTGGCACAATATTGGCTTCCTGAGTTTTTTGGTCAGGAGGAAAATGTGGCTCCTGTTTTCTTCATCTTGATCAGAAATAGTAGTATTCCATGAATTACCATAGTTTTAATTACTGTACTTGGTTTTCTTCCATGTACACTTTAACATAAAACACTGTGACTTATGCTAGATGAATTACAATGAAATACCACTTCACATCAATGAGAATGAGTATGATAATGATAATAAAAAATAAACATTTATGAAGCTATGGAGAAATTAGTACTCATGTACATTGCTAGTGGGAATGTAAAATGATGCAGCTGCTGTGGAAAACAATGTGACAGCTCTTCAAAAAGCTAAACATAGAATTACCATATGACATAGTATTCCCCTCTTGGCTTTGTACCCAAAAGAACTGAAAGCAGGGACTTACTTATGCAGATACTTGTATATCACTGTTCATAACAGTATTATTCAGTTGCCGTGAAGTAGAAGCAGTCTGATGTCAATCAGCAGATGCTGAATAAAGAAAAATCTTGTCTGTACATAGGATGAAGTGTTACTCAGTCATAAATGAATGAAGTCCTTACATGCTGCGGAACCGGTGAACCTTGAGCTGTCATACTAAATGAAGTAGGCCAGATATAAAAAGTCAAATAATATAATACTCTATTTATAAAATATTCATAATAGGCAATTTATTAAAAAAAGTAGATTAGAAGTTACCAGGAACAGGTGTGAGGGGAGGGGGAATGAATTGATTAACGGTTAGAATGTCTATTTGGGGTGATAAAGTTTTGTAAATAATGCTTATTGCATAACACTAAATATAATTAATGCCACTGAATTGTATATTCAGAAATGGTAAAAATGACAAAATTTGTGTCATACATATTTCACCACAAATTTTAAAAATTAATAATGTAATATTCCAAAAAGCATTAACTCTTACACTTTAAAAGGGTGGATGATTTTAAGTGAATGAGTAATAAATGTGCTCTTCTTCACTTGTATATTTGTTAAAATTATGGATGCTGTATGGGTTAGTGAAAATAAATCAGTAGGAGGGGCAGAAATTTTAATCTTTGCTCTAGAAGTTTAATGCAGCAAAAATTAGGTGAATTTTCTTTGTCTCTTTTGTCATGTATAAACTGAGACCATAGTAGTGAGCTAACCTGTCACATGTTGGGTACTTTTTAGAGTAGAGAACTTGTACTATCTAGGCTCATTTTTAGGAATAAATGCAAAGTAAGAAAGTATGTTCTTAGCCAGGCAGTGGTGGCTGATGCCTCTAATCCTAGCTACTTTGGAAGGCTGTGATTGGAAGGATCAATGTTTTAGGCCGCCTGGGCAAATCTCCAAAATAACAAGCAAAATGAACTGGACTCAAGCAGTAGAGTGCCTCCTTGGCAAGTGTGAAGCCCTGAATTCAAACCCCAATTGTCACCCCACCCTCTCCCCCCCAAAATAGTGATGGCTAAAACAATCTGTATCCATTGTAATTTATGAATCAGGCATATCACAGACATTAATCAGACAACACAGGTTGCAGCATTCCCTAGATCCCGGTAATCTCTACTTATACAGATTATTTTTATTCTCTGAACTTAATGGTATAATTGTTTTAATGCTTTTCTTTCTTTCTTTCTTTTCTTTTCTTTTCTTTTCTTTTCTTTTCTTTTCTTTTCTTTTCTTTTCTTTTCTTTTCTTTTCTTCTTTTCTTCTTGTGGGACTGGGTTTTGTATAAAAGCATATTATTGTTGTGTTGGGGTTTACAATGTGACATTTACAAAAATTCTTACAATACATCATTCACTGCTTCCACCATTCTTCTTTATCTCCCCTCCCCCATTCCTGAAATAGTTTCAGCTGGTTTCATTTTTTCAGGGTCTGGGGTTTGAACTCAAGACTTTGAGCTGGAAAAGTAGGCACTCTATCACTTGAGCCATGTTTTAATGCTGCTTTTAATTTTCTCAACCTTCTTTCACCTTTTGCAGACTGCTTATAACTCCAGTGGATCATGACAGATACTTGGCCTTCTTCATAGCATTTTATTATATATTTGAGTGTCTTCTAAATGAATTACAAATTTCAGCCTCCCTCTCTACTTCCCACTTCTTAAGACCAAAACATTTTTTTTTAACTAACGAAAGATTTTAAGGTGTTTTTAAACTGCTATTTTAAGCAATAATTTTTTTTTTTGTTTACTTCCTATTCCGAACAGGGAGACAGAATCTAAACTTAGGTAATCAAAGAAAGGGAGTTTAATCAAGGAAATAATTGTGAAGGTGTTGGGAAGAGTGAAAAACATAGGAATAGGAGGTCATCCAGAGATTATCAATTGCAGGCAACCTGAGACTGTAGAGAAGATGGCAAGAGCTGATTATCTAGTGGGAATTTGAACTGAAAAGGACAAGAGCCATTTCCAGAGACCTAGCCTGAGGGAGAGACTAACTAGGATGTATGTCTTCCCCTTTCTCCTGACTTTGGACTCTTAATAGGCTTACTATCTAGAGATAGGAGCCTGGAAAATTTGTAAGAGTTGGGTCTCAAGGCATAGGAGAGCCTAATATCAGAAATTAATCTGAGAGCAGACTGATAGATGAGCAGGATATTCATCCATATTGCTGTCTGATGCTGCAATACAACAAGCAGCAGCAGAGTTCACACATTGTGCTATTGGAGGGCAGAGATGGGCTGTAGTGTTGGAGGGAAGTGATTTATTATGGAAATTCCTCCAGGAGAAACAAGCGAGGAGATAAAGAGAGCAGGGTGGGAAAGAGGGAAGAAGCCAGGGAAAGACAGTTTTCTCATCTTTAATCAGAGGGGTTAGGTTTTCAAGCCTCCTCGACCATAAAACTATATGCCATCAGCCATAATTAGATACTAGCCATCATGGAGGACACAGGCAGCAGCAGAGCAGGGCAGTTCTGTGAAGAAAGTTCCCTTTAAATAGTTCCTTTCCATTTTTGTATTATGTCCCTTTGTAAACTGACTATATCCAGATAGTGTCCTGATAACATGGTTCTTCACTGCAGAACTATATCCAAAACTAGTTTTTCTAAGGTCTGATCATATTACAATTATTAGCTTCCTTAAACTGTACTTTAAATCTTAGTTTTTACCTGATTTATCTTTATACAGTTAAATCAGTTTCACTTTTGCTTGTCCTTTGTCTTTTTTAAAATGTTTTACTATAATTCTGAAGATTCTGATTAAATTTTTCCTATCAAATGCTGTAAGGCTTCCTTTTCCTGTCTTTGTAATCCCGCCTGCGTGTTACAAGTTCTCTAGTGCAAAGTATTCCTTGGCTTATTAGTATGACAATAGTCAAAACATTTGTTTATAATGTTTACTTTAACATGGGTAGTGACTACCATACTCACATATATTCAGTGTAGGAGTAGCTTTGTTTTTCCTTCCCACAGACACCAGCTCTGATCTTTTTTATTAAATACTTCGTCTCTGATAATGAGTACTGTATACAGAGCTTAACTTTAACCCTCTTGTTTTCTCTGTGTCTGTAGTTTTTCCTCTGAATGGGGTTGAGAAGCTTAAAAGGTACAGAAAGTAACCATTTTAGGTTTTGTAAGCCATGGTATCTGTGTTGGAACTAGTGAGCTCTGTCTGCCCTTGTGGTGCAAAAGCAGCCATAGAAATGCATCATCTATTGAGCTTGGCTGGGCTTCAGCAAAACTTTAATTTATGGACACTGAAGTTTAAATTTCGTGCCATTTCTCACATTAAATTTCTTCTCTTGCTGTCCCTTGCCTCAGCTAAGTGAAATGTGAAGGCCATTCTTAGCTCATGTGCCATCGTATGCTTTAAAGCCATTGTTCTTTGTATGCTCCTGTTGCTTAACCCAGTTCATTGCTCTCATTACCTTGATCTGTGTTGCATATTGCAGAGGGCCTTTGCATCTTGCAGTGAGGGAAAAGGAAAGCAGAGAAAGTTTAATCATATCAGAGCTAAAATCAGACTGTATTAAATGTCAGTCAACTTTGGAGTTTTTGAGGTTTTAAATTCAGTGATTTTTAAGAGGTATTTAACAAGAAGTGCTTAGAAGAAAATATGCTTGCTAATTGTATGCAGTATTCCATTTATCAGGTGAGTAGTAGATAATAGGGATGATACTGATTTATATAACTGTGTCTGACTTGTAATTTACTTATTTCTACATACATTAGCTTACTTGATCTTCTCAACATCATTGGATATAAAGCTTAGAAGTGGCATGTTACCCCTCTATTTTTGAAATTTTATTTTATTTTTTTGGTAGTACTGGGGTTTGAACTCAGGGCCTCATGCTCACTATGCAGGCATTCTACCAGTTGAGCCACTCAGCCAGCCCCTTTTTGTTGTTGAGTATTTTTGTGATAGGGTCTTGCACAACATTTCTTTGGACTGTCTTCGAACCCTAATCCTCCTGATCTCTGTTCCCCAGTAGTTAGGATTGCAGGTGTGAGCTTTTGGTACATGGCCCTGTTTTTTTTGTTTTGTTTTTGATGAGTTACCATGAGAAGTTAAATTACTTGCTTAGGTCTAAAATTGGGCAGTGGACAGAGAACCAATGCTTCTTGTCAATTGAACACTCAAGGAATTTTAGAAAGAAAAGGAATGATACCATGTTTGATTTTATAATTTTACTAAAGAGAACCCAATATTCAGTTGTAATTTATAGAGTAAATTTTTTGTGTTAGACTCTGTCTTACACAGAGATAATTATTTATTGGCATTTGTAATATTTAGATGGCTTTTTAAAAAAGTTTTTCTTAGTATTTAAAAAGTATATAAAGTATTTAAATGCCATTTAGTATGCTTAAATGTCCAACCACAGTTCAAAGCCAAAGATCTTGGATTTCAACACATATGGAGTAAATACAAACCTAACCTTTGCTCCTTTTCAGCACCAGCATTGGATGTTGACTGGCAGAGCAACAACACCTTTGCTTCTTGTAGTACAGATATGTGCATTCATGTCTGCAAATTAGGACAAGACAGACCTATTAAAACATTCCAGGGGCATACGGTAAGATACCTTTCCTACCACTTTAAAATTATTATGAACAAGTAATGTTTTGGAATAGTTGTGAAGTATGTATACTTAATATCAAATAGCAACCCAGTCTATGCAATGAAAATATGAATATTTACTGTTATTTTTAGAATGAAGTAAATGCTATCAAATGGGACCCAACCGGCAATCTTTTGGCTTCCTGTTCTGATGACATGACTTTAAAGGTAATTCAGTTCGTGGGAAGACAATTGGGGGTGGGGGAGGCATGTCCCACTCTGGCCTTTTTAAGACCATTTAGAATACCACTCTTACAATGAATGTTTAAGCCTGAATAAAGACTTGCTTGGACTTTTAATGATTATTCATTTTTTGTTTATATTTTCTGAAATACGTAAAAAGACTTGAATAGAGTAAATTCTATTAAAAGAATGGCAGTATAATATGAATTACCATACTGTATTAGTCACAGTTCTCCAGAGAAATAGAATCAATAGAGAAGGTGGGAGAAGGAGGGACTTACTGTATGGGAGGGGAGGGAATTAATCTAGAAGAGACTCGTGAGGAGTCTATGCACACAATTATAGAAACTAAGCAGTTCCACTGTCTTGTTGCCTACAAACTGAGACCCAGATAAAGCTGGTGTTAAGGCCCAAGAATCAGAGTGTCAGTACCAGTTGTGTAAGTCCTAATCCAAGGGCAGATGGACCAGTATTCCAGCTCAGCAGTGAAGCTGGAGAAGAGAATTGGGACTTTCCCTGCCTTTCTGTTTCATTGAGGTCCTCACTAGATCTGGATCCCTAAGGGGAGGGCACTCTGCTTTATTTGTTTCTCATTCAGAAACTCTCATAAGCAGTGTTTAGGAAATATCTGGCTATCCCACAACTCAGTCAAGTCGACACAGAAAATTAACTGTCACAGATGTAAAAAATGTGATGTTATAAATTGTCTTCAACATTAGGAAGTCATATGTTGGTGCAATTAAAATTTATTTGTATGTGCAATGGTTTAACCAATAAATACTCAAGATCTTTGAAGTATTTGTGAACTTGATTAGAATTCTGTGAGTTGTATTAATTTGATTGTACCTTGGTATGAATGTAACACCTTTCCTGGGAAACATATGTAGCGGAGAACCTCATAGTTACTAAGTGAGTTTAGTCTAGTGAACATGCCAATATCCATACCTCAACGTAGATTTTTTTCATGTGTAACTCTAAGCAAAACTTGATAACTTTCATATAAACATAAGTATATCAAAAGGATTTTGTTAGGGGGAAAAAGAATTGTGAGGTAAAGAATTACCTAGTACTAATCTACAAAATGATTGGAGCCCTAAGCTCTCTCCTGCAACACCTAACTCTACTAAAAACATTTATATCTATGACTTTGCAATATGGGTAACTACAGACATGACGACCCTTATAGATAAGATAATCCTGGGGAGAAATTGTTTTTCCTTTTAATATGAACAGACTAAATGTAGTCTGTGACTTCCCCCTCCCCCCTTTAAGTATCTGCTGTGTTGTGTTCAAGTGTGGGCTCCCTTACAAACATTACTAGTAAAAATGCTGTTCTTAATGTTTTTTACCTTTGGGTTTTCCTTGCATGCACATACATTAATGCTTATAAAATGAAAAAGTCTTCTGGAATAGCATATGGCACATATGAGAAAGCGAAAAGGGGCCATTGTCCAGAGAGCTTTGTATTATGGATTGAGTTGCAACTTGAGAGGTTGGAACTAGAAATCCCAGGCTCTACAATTAGAGCCTTTCTTCATCCTAAGAATAAGTAAAGGTTATACAGGATTTTAAAGTAGAAATAATGTGGCTGATATATAATGGAACAATTTTCTGAAAAACAGGGATAAGATAAATCTCAAAGTCTTTGAAGGATTACTATATCAAGAGATTATGTAGAGAGGAATATTTCAAGGGATGAAAGTTACCATTGTATCATGCTGTTGAAAGGTCTAATGAAATAAATTCTTAAAAACATGTTGTTTGGGTTTATTTACACTGGTTTATAAATACCTAAGCTACAAAAACACTAAAACATTGTTAGATTGTCTGTTATTAGATGCATTATAGAAGTGTGAATTCCAGCCATTTTGTTTCTTTGTTGGTTGTTGGGGTTGCTATGTGTTTGTGTTTGGCAAAATTACGTCACCCTCCCCAGTTTCTCTATTGGCTATTTGCCACAAGTACTCTTGATACAGATTTTTGTTTAAAAATAGTACCCATTAAAACACCTATATACATGGTCATATTTTCATCTTAGTTAAAACTTACTCTGTACTTAATTAACATTTTAACTTCAATTATATGTTTTCATAGTTTGTTTTATGTTAATCCTCATATTATTTGTAAATTGCTTCTTTATTTTCACTTTTCCGTTACAAAATTCTCCTGATCCTAAATTATAAGAACAGTTTATAATGTAGGTCTTTTATTTAACAGACAGTGTAAAAACTGTGCATTCATCACTTTATGATCATTATTCAGAGAATGTTGCGTATGTTTGGTTTTAGAGTTTGAACCCAGGGCATCATGCATGTTAGGTTAATGCTCCACTGCTGAGCTACACTCCAAGCCCAAGGAATATTGATATTGTACTATTAATCTTAAAACAACTACAGTTAATTAGGCCTTTAAAGCCTCACAATTAGGAATATTTTTAAAGAACATAAAACTGTTATTTTCTATAGGTAGGAAAGATGATATTGTAAATGTACCCATTGTATGGGAAAATTATGTATTTTTTTCTTTTCTTTCTGTTTAGATATGGAGTATGAAACAAGATAATTGTGTCCATGATTTGCAAGCACACAATAAAGAAATTTATACTATTAAATGGAGTCCAACAGGACCAGGGACAAATAACCCAAATGCCAACCTTATGTTAGCAAGGTGAGATTCCTGTTTTACCCTTCCTTTTATGACCTCTATAAATAAAACTTCCAATAAATATGACAGAAAATTAGGGAAGGTTCCATAAAATGAAGTGTATCTTGTAAGGAATTTATTTTTAATGGAAATCTTTAAACATGGGATTTTATCAGTAGTGTTTCAGGTCTTTATAGTTTTTAGTATCTGCAGATAATCACATATTGACTAATGATGTCAAATGTTAATTAAAACCCAAGTATTGAGGCCAGGCACGTTGGCATGTATCTGTAACTCCAGCACTTGGGAGCCAGACAGGAGGGCCCCAAGTTTGAGGCCAGCCTGGGTTATATAGTGAAACACTGTTGCAAAAACAATAAGAATTAAAAAAATAATTGAGGCCTAGGATAATTAAATTTCATTACATCTTTAATGAAAAGGTGAATTTTTAAATCAGGTCAATCTGGTGTTCAAAACTGTAGATCAGTAAAAAAGACTATTTAAAACAAAGAATGCGGTAAATTAACACACTTACACTTTCCAAGTCAGGGACCTGGAGATGCCTTAAATCCACTCTTTTCTCTTAATTAACTTTCAGTTTCCAGAATACTTTGATCTTAACAGTCTAGTGTGCTTCTCATGAAGAATTTATAGATAGTTTTTTAAGAGTGGTAGAATATGGGAGTTTGGGGCAAGGCTGAGCGAGTATTTTATTACTTATATAATCATTTTTTCCTCTTCCTTTTCAGTGCATCCTTCGATTCGACTGTTAGGTTATGGGATGTAGACCGAGGGATTTGCATCCATACTCTGACAAAACACCAAGAGCCTGTGTACAGTGTAGCTTTCAGTCCTGATGGCAGGTATCTGGCAAGTGGTTCTTTTGACAAATGTGTACACATCTGGAACACACAGGTATGTCTAAGTTACTTAAATGCTCAAGTACAGCTTATAGTTTTTATAAGCATTTGCCTATAGAATTTTTCTTTTTTAGTTTTCTTGTGGCATTATTTTAATTCTTAGTTTTAAAAACATAAGAGATTGTTTTGGGGGAGCGGATCTTACAGCTAAATAAAAATGATAGAAATTACTTTTTCATGCATAGAAAAGAATTTAGAATGGCTTTAAATGGCTTATTTTATTATTTGTTTAACAGTATTGTAGAGATAAATGTGAAAGTTTACAATGAATTTATTTAGATAAATGACATTTTTTTCCTAAAAGGATTATCTTTGAAGGAGCTGTGTATTAACAATAAAAAATGTATTAAAGGACAAGATTTTAGAGCTTTATGCAATATTTATCACAAATAAACTTATACTACCTTTTCAGGGACACTCCTCTCCGAAAAGTAGAGAAAGCATCCACATGCTTTCACTTTTTAAGACATCTTTCCAGTGTTTTAGTTTTAATGCTCCATTTATTATGTTTCTTTACTAGCAGTTGCTGTACTTATCCCTCTTGATTGATCTTTGCGGTCTTGTAGGCCATGTCCCTTTTTGTTGTTGATCTCCACCATAGTTAATTTCACAAGTTAATTTATACAAATCGTTTAAAAGTATTTTTTATTAAGTTTAAACATTCATATGGTTCAGAAAAGACCCAAACATTTTTATGTAAATGTAAACACTGAAAAGTTTTGCTCATATTTTTGGTTTTATCTCTTACAGGTAGTAATTTTTTGTTAGTTTATCTTTTATTGTCACAAAGTTTTTTCCTTCAATAAAGTCATTGTGATTCTTGTATTTTACACTTTCACTGGCAATATTGGAGAAGATGTGCCATGGTCCAACTTATAGGTGAAAGATATTTTAGTGTAGCTTTTGACCTGCTCCGTGTCCAGCCTGGGCTGGGTCCCCCCCTCCTTAGACAACCTGGTACCCCCGGGCTCCCCTGGTAACCCCATGTTGGTGCCAGGCCCGGTGCAGACGCCCACTTCACACAACACCGTAGTCCCGAACACCCATGATCCGCCGATCTTAGCCTCCCAGGAAGCTGGGATTACAGGCGCGCGCCACAGCGCCCAGCTTTAGTGTAGCTTTTAACGTATCTTTTTCTTATGAATGAGGTTAAGAATCCTCTTTGATGATTCACATTAATTTTTCTGTGCATTCTGATTTCCTACTTTTCTTTTGATGTCTAGTAACTTTTATAACTAGAGAAATAAGCTCTCTGAATTGTAGGCTTTTCTTATTTGAACAGATAGTTCAAATAGAATAGATGTACTCACAGTATACTTCTCCTATACCCATTTTCTGTTGTTTTCTCTTTTTTTTCTTTTTAATATTGATCAGTTGGTGTTCTTTATGTATTCTGGATAATGATCTGTCTTGGTCATACGGATTTATAGTGGTCTCCTAGTTTCATGTCTTTTCATTTTCTTCATGGTATATTTATCATAGTTTTCAATATCAGTATTCAGATTTACAGACCTTTATTTTTTAAATTTTGGCAGTACTGGGGTTTGAACTCAGGCCTTGTGCTTGCTAGGCAGGTGCTCTACCGGGTGAGCCCTGCCCCCCAGCTCTCCAGTCATTATTTTTTATTGGTGCTTTTCATAGTTTAATACATTCTTCCTTTTTTAGATGTCACTGAGGTTGCAGTTTTTTTCCATAAAGTATTTAAGCTTTGTTTTTTATGTTTTTAACTTTTGTGGTATTGATTATGTCTGTGACATCAGTTTTATCTTTCCATATAGCTAGTCAGTTGTGTCAACATCATTCCTTGTTCCTTACTATTTTCGTACATAGCAAGTTCATAAACCAAGAGTGTGGCTGGTTTATAGAATCTTTTATTTCATTGATGCAGTCTGTACATTTACATATACCTGAATCTAGAGCATATAATAACTCTTCTCCCTGTTACTCAAAATTGTGTTTCTGTTGTTGGTGCTTTAGTCTTCAATATCTCCAAAACAAAGCATTTAATTTGAGTTTGACTGCCTTGAATTTATAGGTAAAATTGGAGGCAGTTGCTATTATTTGAGTTTTATTACCCATAAATATGCTATCTCCATTACTGTTTTACTCTTGTGAAATTTTATAATTTCTCTCTATAAAGAAGATCTTATCCTCTTTTAATTTATTCTGAGGTGCTTTTTATGTTTCTATGAATGGCATCTTTTAAAATATGTTCTTTTTACTTGTTATTGCTTATGTTGGAACATTTTCAGACACTCATTTTGTCTATTACGACAAAATCAATTTCAATGAAATTTGGCTATTGAACTTTTAAGTGCTAGTGGAAAATAACGATCCTTTGTATCATATATAATTATTGTTATACAGTTATACAGCAATAGAATATTGCTCATATTCAGATGATAACATTTCATCCTGAAAGGTTCATGGCCATCTCATAATACAAACTGCATTCAGGCCATCTCTAAGAATCCTCAAAGTTTTAATAGTTCCAACATTGTTCAAAAGCCCAAGGTTGAAGTTTGCTCTGAGATTCACGATAGGCTCTTTTATCTGTCAGCCCCTGTGACAAGTCTAAAAACCAGTCACATACTGCCAGTATGCCATGGCACAGAGTAAACCTTATTATTCCCAAAGGGAGAAATAGGAGCATAGAAAGGAGGAATTGGGACCAAAGCAAGAGTGAGACCTAGCAGGGAAAACACTAAATCCTATAAATCTGTCTGACATCCAGGATATAAGATGTAGTGATGTGAACTCCAGTGAGCTTGGTGGCCCTGCCCTTATGATCTTCTAGCTGTACCTCACCTAGCATGTCTCTCAGGCTGGCTCTGTTCCTTTTCTGCAACTTCTCTCAGCAGATGTTTCATATCCTTAGGGTCTCCACCACATCTTAGGCTTCATGCATCACCCTTCAGGGCTGCCTGTAAGGATCTTGACCCTGCCACATATTGCCAGGCCTTCCTTTGAAATCAGTGGGAGCATCCATGATCCTGGAGTTCTTGAATGCTACACATCTGCAAAACCTGGATGGGCACCCAGGTCTGGCTGCAGTGATCTGAGTACTTGTGCCAGTGAGTCCAGGAAAATGCTTCCCTAGCTGCTTTGTGCAGCAGAGCACACCGCCACTTACCCTTCTCCAAGGAAAGTCTTTCAAATGAGTACAAGTTTTTACCCTGGATCCTGTGATGGATGAGGTCTATCCAGTTTTTTTAGATGCCCTCAGGCATCTTTCCTATCATCCCAGTGCAAAGTGCTTGGCTTCTGTTCTCTTTGACCATTTTTTTCAAATCCTTTTTCTCTGATTTTTGCTCCCAGTTAATCACTGTAAATCTAACAAAGCTAGCCAGCAATAACGATGCCATAACCTGAATGCTGTGCTATCTTGAAATTTCCACCACCTAATTAATTATTCCATCACCTTTAAACTCAGCCTCAGTAAAGTTTCTGAACATGAACAAAATGTAGATAAATCCTTTGCCACAGTGTAACAGATGGCTTCTAGTCGAATACCCAGTAGAGCTCTCATTTCCATCTAAAACCTCATGAGCACAATATTTGTTGCTCACATTCGTATCAGTGTTCTGCTCTTCTGAATGTCCACCAAAATCACCCCTTAATCTCTGCTTACAGTATCGTAGGCCTTCAGTAGTCCACATCTCCAGAACTCTTCCAGATTCCTCCTACAAGCCAGTTTCAAAGGCATCTGAACCACCTGGTCAGGTTTGGTCACAACAATGATCCATTTTTCTGGTACCAGTTTTCTGTATTAGTTTCAGTTGCTTGTGACCAAAATGCCTGAGCAACTTAAAAGGGGAAAGATTTATTGTTGCTGTGGTTTCAGAGGTGTTGGTCTTTCATGTCAGCCAGGCAGCAATGAAAAGGGGGACCAGGTGAATCATTTTTGTTCTCATTGCTAAAGGAATAAAATAATTCATTTACATTATTAATCCATACTTAAGATCTGTTAATCCATACTTAGGATTCAGCTACATTAATGATGAAATTGTTAGTGCTTTTTTTTGTACTTTATAAAACTTACAGCATGATTCAAGAGTAATGTATATGTTTTATATTCTTTTAGTCTCTATTGACTGTCTTGACCTGTGTCCTCTCCTGGCTTACAACTACTCAGTAAATACATCACAAGCAGACTTACACTGGACTTGTCTTTATTAGTTTGTTATAATTCCTCTTTGTAATAATTTGGCAAGAAATTCTGAATCAGTTTTGTTTCTGAACATGTTGGCAAACTCACACATCCTTCAGTAATAACATAAATTCATTTCATGTCATGCCCTGAATGTTTACCTGTTTCTGTTAGTTTTGTCAAAGAAGCCAAAGATGCCTTAGCCAAAAATGGGCCACACCAAAAAAACTGTGTTTGTGTGCTCTTTTCAGAGTAGTCTGATGATAGCCTTTAATAAAAGAATCATTGCATCATATTTCTGGCATTTCCAACTTGTAATTATTTTGATTTGAAGCTAAGTCCTACCTCTAATTGTTAGAAATAACGCAATGTTATATATATTTTACTTAATTTGGATTTGTAATAATGAGTTTTTAATATTCTCTCTCATTTTTTTTTTAGACAGGTGCTCTAGTTCACAGCTATAGGGGAACAGGTGGAATTTTTGAAGTTTGCTGGAATGCAGCAGGAGACAAAGTTGGAGCCAGTGCATCAGATGGTTCTGTAAGTATAGTAAAATAAAGTGTTTTCAAAAAAGGGGTCTTTGGGCACACTGGAATGTGACTTATTTTGGTAATCACTACAAAAATGTTCTTTGGGAAATACATTTAAAGATGAAGTATTGATCCCTTCCCCACCACATCGTAGAGTCTGTGTACTTCTCATGTTCATTGCATTCAAATAATATAAATGAAATTTAGGCTATCTTTGCCAAAGTAGTGTGTTCATAATCAAGTAATGAAGCTATTTTTTATGTAAATCTTAATTAGTGAAATTAAGTGTAGCAGAGGATCACTGAGAGGGAGTTGAATTTTTAATGCCTTTATCTATCTTGTCCTTGTAGAAGAGTGTTAATGGCTTAGGGCAAGGAGATTCCTGCATTGAGGAATATGTGAAACGGACAGATTTTCAGGGTGAGGTTGGTCTGTTCTTTACAGAATACCAGTAATAACTTCCAGAGCTCTAGAAACAAAATGAAAACAAAAGTGGTATTGCCATTACGTTTACTGAAGCTATGCCTTAATATAATGTGGTATCTTTCATTAGAAATAGGAAATGGTCTATTTTGTGCATTGCCTCCATGCTTTTAATTAAGAGAGAAATTCCTAAAAATCCCAGCTATATCATATTACCTCATGGTTATTTCCTTCATCAACTTTATTCTGGGCGCTGGTGGCTCACACCTGTAATATTAGTTACTCAGGAGGCAGAGATCAGGAGGATCATGGTTCGAAGACAGCTCTAGGAAATAGTTTGAGAGACCCTATCTCATAAAACCTTACTACAAAAAATTGGAGTGGCTCAAGGTGAAGGCCCTGAGTTCAAGCCCTAGTACCACGCGCGCACACACCCACACAAAACAACAAAAAACTTTAAATCATCTGTCTGACTTCTGTTAGTTAAGTACACATTTCCATGATTATGCTTCTCTGGTTTTATGAACTTAAAACTAAGAAACAAATTCCAAATTGTAGTATTGGAAAGTTAATCTCAAAATGTACAATAAAGTTCTGAATTCACTGGTTGATTATTTTCATTTCTTACAGGTTTGTGTATTAGACCTTCGGAAATAGCGCTACTAGTTGGAAGCCATGGACCGACTATGAATGTGTACATAGCCAAAATGACTGTCCCTGACCCATGTACTGCTATAGTCCCACTTGAACCATGGCCAGTCCACTACAGCCAAATCTAAGAGAAATATATACATACAATGTATATAAACAAAATTGCACCCTGAAGATAACAGAGTTTTGTCACAGCTTGTGAATTCTGTTCACCAAGTGCTGGAATCTAATCTGCTGTGCCCCTAAAATAGTATTTAGAAGTTTTGGATATGAAAACCAGAAGAGAGAAAGAAATATACGTTATAAAAGCAGACCACACATGTACCAGTTTTTGGATACTAATGACAGCCTTGTTTCTCCCCTTTGAATCAGCAGACACCATGGATTATATTCTTTCTTTCTTTTTTTGTCCCCCCCTTCAGTAGTGAGCAGTTTGTATGTATAGAGAAAATGGACTTACAAAAATTTGCAGCAGTAGTTTGTTCTTGCTTTTAAATTTTGTTTTTGGTTAAGATTACGGATGCATGAAGTAAGGGAGTGAATCAGTTTCTTGTTTATATTTTTTTTCACCTTTTAAACAACAAAAAAAATCTTTAAAATATTTTAAAGTATTCTTTTGAAGAGGTAGATGTTTGGTACATTTTATGGCTCCCAGAGCATATATTCAATTGGTGCATATTGTGGAAGGAGGCATTGGGAATTAAGTGAAAACATATGACTTTGGTCATGTCAATCTGTAAGACACATCAGTAAAAAGGGTATTATGCTCTGTTTTGTTGTTTTCTGGGGTTTTTCTTTTTCCTTTCTGTTTTGGTGATGTGGCTTAAATACAGTAGTTTCTTTTTGGGACATATTTCTGCCAATTAAAGACTAGAAGGGCACAAAATGGTTTTTCTGTTTTTTTTAAATACCTTATTGAGGATTCACAAAAAAATCTTTTGATGTTTTGTAGCCATAACTAAATTATGGTTATAATGTGCACTATTGTGTAAAGGAGCAAAGTAGTTTTGGGCTTTTTTTGTTGTTTATTTGTTTTGCTTTGTTTTTTAAAGAGATTAAAATGTTTCTGGATAAGGATTAGCTTCTCAAAGTGTCCATCATTCTGTATAGAAGCTGAAATTTGTAATGTAACCAAACTCCAGTATTAAAAATCTCTCATGTTATTTTTCTTTATGCAAAGCAAGATAACAGCATATAATACTGCCATTACATGGCAAAATGTTTGCTACCTTAGTTTAAGAAACAAACTTTAAGACAAAAGACTTGCTTCAAGGTGTTTTTAGATAGCAGTGATTCAGAATTTAAAAAAAAATGTAATTGCACTAACCTCCCTGCTGCTCTGATTCTGCATTTGTGGTACTTGTGACTACATTTTTTTCAAATATAGATAGATGTACGCTGCTATTTTTTTTTTCCAGAAATCACTACTATATCCTGTCTTTTACTGTTTATATCAAGTATTTTCTTAAAAGATGCAGGTATCAAATCAGATCTCCTCTTGTGCTCATGCAATTAAAAGTAAAATGTACAAATGTTAGCATGAGACCATGTTTATGTGTGTGATTACCAGGATTTGTCAGGCTCAACATAAGAATCCACGAGTGTCAATTTTGAAGGGAATAGTTGTCAAATTTTTATCTTAAAATTTTAATTAAGGAAATGTTTATTATTTATCAAGCTTAGCAAATTTATAATGCTATTTCCATCACTAATTTTTTGAGGCTTTTACTGCTAAAATTTTTAATCTGCATTCTAAATTTAGTTAGAAACTGATTTAAATCCAATTGGTGATGCTTTGATTTTCAGCATTTGTTGTTTTGCTATTTTTACAAAACAGCATTGATTGAAGCAAGTCTTGGTTTTACTAAGGTGGGGTAGCATTTGCTATTGGTAAAAAGAATAAATACACGTAATTTTACTATACCTTGTTAAATGTACCCTAGTTGCTATTAGTGGGGACTATGATACTGTAATGATATTTTTAAAAATTTACATCCAGAGAGGCAGTCATTCATGATGGTTTTGTGCCAGCTGTTTTTAGGGTTTTTGGATCACATTAGCGATGTTAGGACTTACTACCCTGTGACTTACGTAGGAAACCTAATATGCTGAGTATCTGGCACTTGAAATTCTGCTTTTACTGCTAGAGGTCCACATCTGTGTTTGACCTCTGTCATTGTTTAAAAAATAAATAAAAATAAAAAATCTGTGCAATAATTTTTAAATGTGCTCCCAGGAATAGACACAAATGTTTTGAGTATGTTTAAGCTGCATTTTCCTTTAGCGATGCATTCGTCAATTGCACTGAATTTAAATCTGAAAGTCAGAGGTGATTATTGATAGTACTTTTGTATTTTGATATGGACAATTTATTCATTTGCATACAGCCTAATTGACTTTTTTCCCAGCTGATTTAAAAGATAGTCAAGAAATTCTGCAATATAGCTGCCAAAATAGACAGCTACCTTTTTATAGTCATTTTTTTCTTTTCTTTTTTTTTATTCTTTTAAATTCTTTAGCTATTTTACTTAAGCATAATAGCCACAATAGGTCATATAAAAGAGTATAAATGCAGAGCTTTATTATCCTGAAGTCTTGGGTCTTTTAAGTATAAATTCCTCTGAAAGGTATCCGTTTCGTAGGCTGGGTTTTCATGAGCGTACAGTTGTTTGTTTTTGCTGCTGTTCTCGACATCATTGCCTGCTGATGTGCCACCATGCTGTTCCAATGGACAAAAACAAGATCGTCTGTTACCGAGCAGTAACATGATTGCAAGAGACCAAGTTTCACAGCCTGCAGAGTTCCATGTTTGGGGGTTCTTACTCGTTTTTCTTCCTGTTTTTTTCCTGAGAACTTATTCTTGAAAATAACTGAATCCAGTAGTTTTTTTCTATGGAATTCATTATAGATCATTGTTTTATATGCTACTGTAAGAAACTTAATCATAAGGAAAAATAGGAAGGAAAACTTGAATGAAGACTCATTGATTAAAGTAGAATAAAGAGCGAGCAGCTGCCACTCTTAAACATCATAAAGGAATATTTTTTTTTCCTTTTCCACATAGGAAATCTCTTAAGTACTCATATTTGTTCTAACCCCCACATCCTATAATTAATTAATCAGGTAATATCACTGACTTTCAAATGACTATTAGAAGTGGTAACTGATAATTTCCTAATAGGTCTTAGAGTGTATCAAATTCTGTTTTAATGAATTATTCTCTAGGTAAGTATGTTTTAGGATTAAACATCTTTTACAGATACTGAAAGTGCCTCCTTTTGTGGTGTAAAAAAAATTATGGTGCAAAAAGTAATCACTAGATTGAATTACATGAAGGTTTTTTGCTTTTTGACATATAAAAATGTCAAGAGAAAGGCCAAAGATTTGTACTTTTTTCACTTAACTTATAAAGCACTCCTTTTTTCCTTAAACTTCTTTCTGTCAAATTAGATTTAATGAGAGAGTACTATTTTTAAGCAGCTATCTGTTTATGTAGAATGATTTTGTTAAGAGTAATGTAAACTATTAATGAGTAGAGGCCTAAAGTGGACTGTGCATTTTTGCTATTTAAAGGAATCACAAATGATCACACTCTGCAAGCAAAAATGACAAGTTTTACTAGATAAGTAGGAATAAACCTCAAATGCAGTGCTATTTACTCTTTTAAGACAATTTTCATTTTTTAAAACACATTGTACATTTCTACAGACCTGTGTTTATTTTCTCATATTAAGGATGGTACTTGCATATGGTGAATTACTGTTGACAGTTTCCGCAGAAATTCTGTTTTCACTGGACCAACATTGTGGCATGGCAGCAAATGCCAACATTTTGGGGAATAGCAGCAAACCTATAAAGAGACCCTGGTTGTTTTTTTTTCTGTTTGTTTTTGGTTCCCTTCCTATCCCCTCCCCTCTGTGAATCAACAGGTGTTGAAGGAGGGTAGGGAAGTTATGAATTACTCCTTCCAGTAGTAGCTCTGAAGTGTCACATTTAATATCAATTTTTTTAAACATGATTCTAGTTAAGTGTAGAAGAGAAAAAAGTAAATGTTCACTTTTTTAATACACTGATTTAGAAATTTGATGTCTTATTGGTAGTTTGAGGTATTGATAGCATTCTTCATTTCTGCCTTTATGTTGACAGTGTTGAAGCAGGGTGAATAACTAGGGCATATTTTCCTTTTCTAGTAAGCTGTTTCATGATGTTTTCTTTGGAATTTCTGGATAAGTTCAAGAAAACATTTTGCATGTTATATCTAGTCTGATGTACTTATCCATCTCATTACAAACAAAAACACACAGACTGCATTTTGTAGCTCTGTAATCCTTTTAAATACAGAAGTAATTTTCTTCTTTCCTGACTTTGTAGCTATAATGTTTTCAGTTTGATTTTTACAAATCCTTTGGGTCTAATTCTGTGAGCCTACCTATAGCACTGGATTAAAATGTCTGCATCATTTCTTTAGTTATCCAGTTAACTTTAAAACTGTTGTAAAAGTGTAAACCAGCCCATGACAGTTTTTGTACATGTTAAAGAACTTTATTGTTCAGTTTTCATGATTATTGTGTAAGGAAGACTGATATAGATGTTCTATGCTGTCCTGGACCATGTTAATTACACTTCTGATGTATTTTGTTTCTACATCACAATGATTTGTCCCCAATGACCCTTTTATCCTTTCTAGGCACATTTTTTTTGTTGTTGTTGTTGCAGTTTCCCTTTGCATTGTATTGCTTTGACAACTGTAATTTGAATCAGATCTGAAAGAGGTCCAGAATAAAATATATTTTGATATTATGTTGGCTGTGTACATATATAAAATCTTTGATATCTATGTAGTTTGTATAGATTGTTTACTAGCAAAGAGAAAGGGATGGTATTTCTTGTTTACAATTTCTTATTTCCATTTTAATTGCTTTTTATTCCTCCCATGTTCTACTGTAGAATAAACCTTTTTGCTCTGAGTTAGCCTTCATAACATATAACATGTCTGTTCTCTCCATCACTGGTGTTACCAGTTACAATAATAATTGTCATCAGAACCTAAACCACTGTTTTCATAAACATTGTTTTCCAAGATACATAGTTAAAAGTAAGCCCATAGATAAAATTAAAATTTTTGCTATTTTGCTACTTCTTGCAGGAGATAAGATTTTTTAAACTGAAGGAATTATTTTCTATTTTTATTAAAGTATAATAGATCATCTAATCAGATAAGGGATAGCAAAAATTGATGATGTATTTAAAGGACATTATCTCACATAATAAAACTAAAAGAAACCCGATTTATTTATTTGCTAAAGCATGCGGTTGAATACAAAACAATGAGTGTGTATTGAAGATTTTTAGGGTAGAGGTTCAGCTTCCTTATGACATTTTTCCCTTCCGATAAACTAATTATAAATTAATCATTTTCATCTTTAGCTAGTTGCTTATGTTACTACAAACCTAATAACAATGAGAAAAGCTACTAGGCACCTCTTCCAGATTTAATTAATCACAGTTCCTTTATAGTTACTTCAGAGACTTTGTTAAGACTCTCTGAGCACAGTTTTTGTTTGGTTTGTCTAGGTCTTCTGCCTGTCTTTCCATTTCCCCTAAATAGGAACAAATACAGGCATAGCCTTAACATGTTTTATTAGAGATAAGCCACTGCAGTTGCTAAAACTAAAAGCCTTTCATTTTCAAAGGGTTAACTTTTATTGCATGGCATTGATTGTTATTAATACTCTGCATTTTATACTTTTCAAAAAGTGTTGGAACTACTAAGAATTAGAATTCATATGAGCTTGAAGTTAAGCTTAATTTAAGCAGTCATTGAAGGGATTATTTTTAATTTCATAGTTCTTGTATTTACCATGGATTAGATTTCTTACCTATTATAATATGTAGCCAATTAAAGTTTACTGTTTCTTCCAATATATTTATTTGAAAAATGCAGTGGAGGAAAAGCCACTATGGACAGTGGTTTTATGGTGCTTTTCTCTGCTGTACTGAAGCGTTCTGTCAACAATGAAATGTTAACCCTATGCTACGTTTTCTGCATGCTTCTTAAATGTCATATCATATCTCAATGCTTAATTGTTCTAACTTGTAATATTTTTGTATTAAATTTTTTAGGAGTTCCTTGTAATTTCTTTATAATTTAAAATATATTAAACACAAAGTATTTAGTAAAGTACAGACAACAATTACTAATGTTTCTTGGTTGTTGGGTTTGTATGATCAGTTGGGAAGACAGTTCATACTTTAAGAACTAGAACCAATGGTGTGGAATCTACACTGACAAAAATCACAATTCTATTATTTATACACTCACAATTCTGGTTTTCAAAACAATGTTCTCACATACTAATCCAGAGTCAAAATGGGTTGCCTTATGAGAGTTTGTGCTACCAGATAGAACAAAAGCTTAGATTGGTCAGTACTGCTGTGGAGAAACCTGAGCACTTCTTGAGTAATCAAACTTACGCCATCAAAGATCCACTCATACTGGACTCAGAGATCAGACATCTGGAATAAAGAGCTTCTAGAATATCACACATTCAATTTAGGAAAAATTACACTCTTCCAGGACCTTTTCTTTGTCAGCTTTTATTGGTGTAAGTTATATAGATTACCAGGTTAATTATCTCGTTTTCCAGCTTGGTTACATGAGGAACAGTATATGCCAATGGAGGGTGAGGAATAGCTAAAATTCCTAGCTATTTTAACATGATGTAAAAATATACCTATGTAGTAGTAGTAATATTACCAGCTGATAAGGTTGGAATATTTTGATGTGTGGAGTAAATGTTGAAGTTGCACAAATGTGTTGAAATATCAAAATAATGACTCAGTAAAAGGTAAGTTTATCTTAATTTTTTTTAATGTTTGCTTTTTTTTTTTTTTTAAAGTAAAATGTCCAGGCCTACCCTACCCTGTTGACTAATTTTGGTAGTACTAGATTAAATGTGCTTTCTTTGGCCACATTTTTGTACCACAGACGACTGGGAATAGGTCATCCCATAATATAGAGCACATGCATATAAAGAAATCCAAATACAAGGCATAAATACACAATCCCTTTCCAAATTCTTAATCTAATCCTCAAGTGGTATGCACTGTTACTACTTTGAAGGTGTCCTTCCAAATATTTTCAATATGTACTTTAAAAAAAGATTTTAACATTCATTGATTTGAGAAACATTTTCACTGTAATCAGCATCCATGCTACCCTATTCTGTGGATGTGGCACGCATTCTGTCGGCCTGGGATGGCTTGAACTCCACCATAACTACTAGCTGTTTGGAAACCTTAAATTTCCCTATCTGTAAAATTGGGCTAGCTATACTTAATCTCAGTAGATTGGTTATGAAGATTGAAGTTTTAATATGTTTAAAGCCATTAAGGGACTAATGGTAACACTGTATGTTACCATTTTTATTTTTATGGTTTTTCACTTTGTACACCCAAATTTAGCCACCTTCACATGAATTTACTTTCCACTAATTTCTGTTACAAACAGTGGTATGCAGTAAGCAAATACTTGTATGTAGGACAAATCTTAGCAGTTGATACTGATGCATATCCCTGACTAACAGGCACTATAAAGAAATCTCTGAAACTTATCCCCCACCCCCTGCCTCTCTCTGGCATTCTCTGAACCTTATTTCAAAATCTTATTTAGGAATTTATGATGGGGAGATTTCTGGGGTAAAGAGTTTTATTTGCTCAGCGTAGATACAAAAATGAAAGAAGAATTAACAAGACTCATTTTAAGTCCCCCAACCCCGTTTGGATTTTTTTAAAAATGCTAACGATAGTGTGTTAAACATGAGTGGAATTTTGTCTACCACCAAAACACAGTATGTATGTTTAATTGTAAGTTTCATGGAAATTACTAGCCTTAGTTTTTGAGACAGGGTCTCAATATGTAGCCCAAACAGGCCTCAAATTCAATTTCATCCTGCCTCAGCCTTCTGAGTTGCTTGAATTAGAAGTGCATGCCACCATGCTGGATACTAAAGCCTAGGCATTGGTCACTTGTGAATTTGTCCTAGAACACAGTAAATCCTGTCCAGCCACCCATTCACATTTCCTTTTACTTCAAACACAGCAAAAGCAGCAGCTTATAATCGTGTCTTCTGTGGATCCTTGTAGACCCAGCTGAAGTGCACCAATTGGCAGTGTTTTTGTTTGTTTTTTAACTAGTGCTTGTAACAGCTGGGGAAGTGAATGGTTTAGGGGTGATAATGGCTAGCAGGAACACTGGGCTTAGAATGTTAAGTAATCCACATTTTGCAAGAGAATTAACTCAAGTACTTACAGGATGGAGGCTCTATGTAGTCAGTATATACCTGGGGCAGGTGTGTGACACACTTACTGGAAAATTAGGTTTCTAATGTCTGGGAAGACTTCCATATCTCCGGAAGGCAAGTGCAACTGTCACCACGTGAACTTAACTTGTCTCATGTGTAGACTTCATATGGTAGACCAGAAGCTGTGCTGCAATGAAAGGGCTCATTGAATGGGTATATAGTTAGGGGTGCTCTTAACTGAGATTCTTGTGGTGCTGGGTTAGAATAGAGGCTAACTGGCTGGGGACTGGAGGTAGCCTAGTAATTGTGAGTTTTAAGTAGTTTAGGAAGCTACCTGCCTGATTCGTAATTGTTAGATTCAATCAAGATGAGGGCTTCAGGCTCCCCACCCTTCTATTCGGTGCCCACTTTCTTCTGTCTCTTGCCTCCACTCTGAATTAGGTGTCTGCATTTCCCTGTCTCAGCTCTGCTTGTAAAATTGTTTCTAATTCTGCCCTTAACGGATGGGTTACTAAAGGGTGAAGACTGTCATTACTTCTTTGTATCCTCAGAGCCTAGCATAGTGGCAGAAAGTAGTAGATATTTGATTAATATGAGTTGTTCACAATTTGAACAACTCAGAATATGAGTTGCTAACAAGATGATTGATGATTAAAAAAATGGATAATTAGGCACTTCGGAGGGTGACTTAAAAATGAGTTGAGATACTGTAGTGCAAACACCATTTGCTATGAATGTGAGTTTGAATAAATTAAGTTAATCTGAACATTAATTTTTATGTGTAAGAAATGTGAATAGAACTATCACAATGAAACTCCTCAGTACGATTAATATATATACTAATAAGCAGTTTTTTAAATCTATATACTATCTTTTCAGGTGATTTTAAGGATTATCTGTCATATAAATCATTTAGCACAGTGGTCTGGCATAAGTGTTCATAATGGTATTAGTATTGTTACTATAATAAACATGCCAGAGAAGGCATTTGTTTAGCAGGGTGATTTGTTGAAAATAATTTGTTGTAATTATATTTACAAGCACCACTTATGGACAGGAATGTAGAAGTAGTTGAACAAACCGTTCTTTATAATTGCATCTTGTTACGAATCTTAAAATATGTCATTGTTTTTTGCATGTAGCCAGTTAGAGAATAACAATGTGTGACAGACAGAAAGTTGTATCAGTTCCCTGCATTTCTTTATCTATATTGTTTTGTCTTGCTCTTTGTGGTTACTACATTTTTTTTTTTAATGAATGAATTGGAAAATGGTGCTAAGAGTGTAGCTTAGTGGTAGAGTGCTTGCCTACCATGCAGGAGGTAGGCCCTGGGTTCCATCCCCAGCACCACAAAAATAACTATTTTTTTTTTTTTTTTGTATACTGGGCCTTGAACTCACAGCCTTCACCTTGAGCCACTCCACCAGCCCTATTTCTGTGAAGGGTTTTCAAGATTAGGTATTGCGGAACTATTTGCTCAGGCTGGCTTCGAACCGCGATCCTCCTGATCTCTGCCTTCTGAGTAGCTAGGATTACAGGCATGAGCCACCGGTGACCGGCAATAAGTAATTAAAAAAAAAAAAAAAAGAATGAGGCAGTTGTAAAACTGCACCAAGCATCTATAATCTGTTATTTATTGAAAAGCATCAGAAGTAGCATCAGTATTAAGCAAGGTTCTAAAGGAATATATTTCACATTATTCTTTTGTATTCTTTTTCCATTATCTCAGGCTTCAGTTTTGAAACATTAAGATCATAATAGCCCACTATTTTTTGGTTTGTGTTTGGTCACCTTTGTCTTTGTGGTATAGACTCCATTCTATGTAATTTTTATACCTTATGATGATAATGTTCATTTTACATAGTTTCAAAGTAAAAATGGGGTGTGTGAGCACAGTAGGTAAAGAGAAAATTACAGTGTAAAAAAAAATGATGTGAACTTTATCTTACTTTGAGCAGAATTCTTAAGTAATAAATACAGGCTGTTAAGCCATTTCTTTGAGGAATAGAGCATCCTGTCCTAATAGGACATGCAGGGTGAGTGAGAAAGAAATTAAGACACTGAGATTTTGCAGTTACTTGTATTGTAGCACAACCTTGCTAATACTGATTGATGTTCTCTTTCTCCACCTCATGCTGACGCAGCTGCACATTTTCCTCTTGAGAATTAACCTCTTTTAACTATAATGATCTAGACACTCTACTATGCATTCATAAACAGAACCCAATGAATTTTAACATAAGAGATTATATTGTACTTGTTTTTGCATAACTTGATTTTATTTTAGTTAATATAGTAGAGCATCATTTCATGTTATTGTCTAAACAGCTTTATTGAGTGCTGATAAACTATATATTTAAATAGTGTGATTTTTATGGGGTTTAACATGAATAGTCCTGTTCAAATAGTCACATTTTTAAAAATGAACATTTTTGTCACCTTCAAAAGCTTCCTATTACCTCTTGGGAGCTCCCCTATCTTACCTCTCTCTGTCCTGCCCTACCATTCTTGTGCAACCAGTGTTTGCTTTCTGGTACTATAAATGAGTTAACTCTTTCTAGAATTTTATGAAAATAGAATCATACCTTATTGACCCCTTTTGGGAGGAGACATTCTAGCTTCTTTACATATATCATGTATATACATATTACATATATACACACATTGTTCATATCAGTAGGATTAGAGATATTTCCATTTATGCATGATTTTCTCTTTTTCTCACCTCTTTTACATTATATTTGGAATTCTGTAAGGGAGATTTTCTCACATTGATTCGCTCATTAATGTGTTAATCATTTATATCAATGCAAAGTTAGTAAATCTTCAAGACCACCCTCCCTTCTGACACCAACTACCAACTTGGGTCCCCAAGACTACCCT